ATGCATGTTGACATGTAGACACTGGCGGATTTAAGGGGGGGGGGGGGGGGGGGCGTGGGGGGCGCACGCCCCCCCTAAAATTTTCAAAGTATGATATGACTAATATTAATAATGCCATACTGTGGTATATAACTAAACAATACCACTATTTTTGTGCCTGGTTTTACTTTTAAAATACACGAAAACCCAGGAGCTTCCGGGGGCTTCGCCCCCTGGGCCCCCACCAGGGCTTCGCCCTGGCCTCAGGGCTTCGCCCTGGACCTACTGGGGGCCTTAAGGCGGCCCCCAGACCCCCTGCCTAAACGAAGTTATCCACGCCCCCCCTAATCACAAATCCTGTATCCGCCCATGGTAGATTTATGTAAGATTTGTGTTATAAAACAACAGAACAAGAAGTCTGTGAGCCAATGCTCACTAGTTATACCCCCAATCTGATGTGAATATACGCTTTCATGTGAATACACACAAGTTCAGTTGCGACTTGGTATGAACAGATGCAGGAATAAACAGGAAGTTGACATCAAATTCATACAAAAATGAATCCCATCACATGGCATGCCTAAACAAAGCGTGAGCTAAATTTCAAGCATCTGCAATGAGTAGTTGCTGAGAAAACTGTGATGAAAATTTGGTAGGGACAGACAGACAGCTACACACAGACAGACAAACAAGGATAAAACAGTATACCCCTTCTCCTTCGGAGTGAGGTATTAAAAGGTGAATATACAAATTCAATATATATCAGCCCACTTAATTCTCACAAAGAGTATTTCAACTAAGTTGTTATAACAGAAAAAAAAGTATCAAATCAGCTGAAATGTTATTGTAAGATTTCAAATTAAATGATATTTAGGAAAAGAAAAAACGGATAGACACTGGGGCAGGGTTTCATTCCAACTTTTATTTAATGTAATACATATTATACATAAAGGAAGATAACTCCAAAACATGGATGTACTAAATTTAATTATGAAAACCTTTATGCTTTTCTGACTTTCTTTTTAAATACACAACTGAATTTAGTTATACAATTCAAATTTAACACACTGGCATAGACAATGTATTTTGATTTCTTTGCCACTGAAATTCGGGACTAAAATCAGTTTTTTTTTTCTTTGAAGATGTCTTTGATGTATTCTGTTGCACAGTTTAAAAGCAAATGGAAATCCATTGGAAAAGTATGCTTCTTAAAGGACTTATCGCATGCTCTTAAAAAATTGTAATTTTATGAAAAATATTATCTTTCACCTTGTTTATTAAAATACTGAATACAATAAATGTCATTATATGCACATTTTAAGCGATATTGAGAGTTGAAATTCAAATACGGCGATATGCATATTTCAATCGGATTTCAACAAAATACTGCTCTGACATCATAGGCAACAATTCAATGATAGAGAGATGAGGAATTGCACACTGTTAACGGAGTTTCAACAACAAATGCAGTCTATTTACGAAAAACACAGAAAATTTTTATTCCTCACGTTTATTTCAATAACTATAGAAATATGAACTAGTTCTAAGGTAAAAGGCTTTTGTAAAATTTTTGTTTTTTTAATTCTTAACTCTTAGAATCTGCAGCTCTGATTACTGTAATTTTGTGATGGGGAAATTATTTTTTCAGTCTTTACAAAAGATACGAAGGTATACTTGCATAAATTAATATTACAATAACCAGAAGTCTCTGACGAGACTGTAGCTCTACTGGTTGTATTTATAAAGGAAGATAAAAGTAGCACTTTGACTTGAAACTTTGCAACAGCAATAAACAGAATAATGATCCTTGGTTTAGTCTCTTTTGTGGCAAGATTTATTATTATATCAGACTAAAACTGTAGGAGGAGTAGCCTTTTAAAACAATTTCACAGAAATTTTGATTTAAGTAACCATGGCAACATCATTCAACAAAATCAAAAAACAATAACACCTATTATGTATCTCTGTAGTCTACTTGTATGCCACATTATACTGAAATCAGACAAAAAGTGTAGGAGGAGTAGCCTTTTTGAAAGTATTTCAAGAAAATTTCAAGTTTAGTAACCATGGCAACACCGTTCATTGAAACCCAAAACTGGTACAGAGAATTATGTATCTTAGTGAAGTCTAATTGTGTGCTAAGTTATACTAAAATTAGACCAAAACTGTAGGAGGAGTAGCATTTTGAAGGTATTTCAAGGAAATTTCTATTTTTAGTAACCATGGCAACACTGTTCATCGAAATCCGAAACTGGTACAGAGAATAATGTATCTTAGTGTAGTTTACTTGTGAGCTAAGTAATACTATAATCAGACCAAAACTGTAGGGGTAGCATTTTGAAGGTATTTCAAGGAAATTTCTATTTTTAGTAACCATGGCAACAATGTTCATCGAAATCAGAAAATCAATATAAAGAATTATGTATCTTAGTGTAGTCTACTTGTTTGTCAAGTTATACTGAAATCAGACCAAAACTATAAGAGGAGTAGCATTTTGAAAGTATTTCACAGAAATTTCTATTTTTAGTAACCATGGCAACACCGTTCATTGAAATCAAAAACCGATAAACAGAATTATGTATCTTATTATAGTCTACTTGTGTGCCAAATAATATTGAAATCAGATAAAAACTGTAGGAGGAGTAGCATTTTGAAAGTATTTCACAGAAATTTCTATTTTTAGTAACCATGGCAACATCGTTCATCGAAATCAAAAACCGATAAACAGAATTACGCATCTTAGTATAGTCTACTTGTGTGCCAAGTTATATTGAAATCAGATAAAAACTGTAGGAGGAGTAGCATTTTGAAAGTATTTCACAGAAATTTCTATTTTTAGTACATCGAAATCAAAAACCGATACATAGAATTATGTATCTTAATATAGTCTACTTGTGCACCAAGTTATATTGAAATCAGATAAAAACTGCAGGAGTAGCATTTTGAATGTTTTTCACAGAAATTTCTATTTTTAGTAACCATGGCAACACCGTTTCCTTGAAATCAAAAACTGTATCTTAGTGTAGTCTACTTGTGTGCTAAGTTATATTGAAATCAGACCAAAACTGTAAGAGGAGTAGCATTTTGAATGTTTTTCACAGAAATTTCTGTAACCATGGCAACACTGTTCATTGAAATCAAAAACCCATAAACAGAACTATGTATCTTAGTGTAGTCTACTTGTGTGCCAAGTTTTACTGAAATCAGACCAAAACTGGAGGAGTAGCATTTTGAAAAATTGTTTACAGACGGACAGACGACGGACACATTACTATCGCATAAGCTCTTCTGGTCTCTGACCAGTAGAGCTAAAAATGAACAATGAAAAGTCTATAATGTTAATTTTCTGAACAAAATTGGTTAATACGTGTGATAAGATGAAAAATCATATTGTATTGTGAGGCAAGTTTCTTCGCCTTTTCCAGGTCTCCCTCACTATCTTCACTGCTATTTTAAAAATGTTGACAGATTTTGCGGATTTTCTCTTGCTGACAGTTCAAAAATATAAGGTCGGATATCCTAATTCATATCGACAAAATCAGTGATTTGGTCTTCCATAATGCAAAAAATCCAGCTTGTATCATGTATATTTTAGTAAGATTAATGTGAAGAGCTGATCAGCCATCGTCGTCTTTGACGTCACACGGTCACGTGATTGATATCTAATTAACTTGAATTTTTTAATTCAGGGGTTTTCATTTGAGTCAGTTAGTGTTTAATAATTTATCGCAGTATATCCCAGTAAAAAAAACATAATTTATATACTGTGATCATAAAGTCTGTAATATGCTTTTAATTTCAAGTAATTGTCTGAGAAACATGCAATAAGTCCTTTAACTTCTAGAAGAATCCTTAGATTATTTTTCAAGATGACTAATTAATATCAGTAACTGTTATACAAATTTGTATCTATATGTTTGTTTTCGAGCTGCACCTTCTGCAACTTAATGCTATCGGTGTTCCAAAGGTGGGTACTCAAAGTTACCGCCATTCCCAATACTCATTAAGTTGCACAGTGTTTTTATCCATACATTAAAAGTAGCCTTTCATCATTCTTTCATCATTCTATTTTGGGAAGAGTTTTACATTAAAATATTTTTTTTTAAAAATGGGAAAATATTGTTAATTTAATTAGGGAAGGAAAATGACCACATTTGCTACAGGAAGCTGCCTCTTTTCAGCTGTGATTTTGGGTCTAAAAAAAAACATTGATTGCAGGTCTCCAGGGATAATTCTGCTCTACCCTCTGCCACATTGGGTGACCCACAATAAAGGACAGATGGTACAATTTTTTTTTTTTCGAAAACCATGAAAATATTAACTAAATTTGTAAAAATATGTTTACATGAGTAAAATGATTATGTGTAGCTGCATAAAATTTCCTTTTTTTCATTCAAATTTTTTCAATAATGTCCTTTAAAGTGATAAAAATTGGAAACATCTATAAAGCTTAGAGCAAAAAAAGGGAAGAAATTTGAACATCATAGAAAGTGTACAATTTCTGAATGTACATGTGTATGTATAAGTAAAAAAATATATACCAATCCATGCATCCAGTTTACAGTAGGAGTGAAACGGTTCACCGCGGTATCGATGCACCGCGGTATTTTTTCTCGGTTTGATACACGGTGAAAAATCTCTAATTTTCGGTTCGGTTCATTTTTCGGTCGGGATCGTTATTCAGTTGGGTTTGGCATAAGGTATAACACGTTACTCAGTATAAATAAGTATAGAAAACGTAAATTTTTGATGACTGATAGCTTGTAAGATAATTTTTGACAGTCAAATAATTTTAATCAATTTCTTCTAGTCAATTTGCAAATAAAATTCGTAAAATAGGTGACTAGATTTAGAAAAAGAAAGCATAAAACAACGTTGAATTTGTTTCCTTCTATCAAAATGTATCGTATCGAAAATAACCGAACCGAGACAAAATTATGCAATACGTATCGAACCGTGAAGGAGGTGTACCATTTCACCCCTAGTTTACAGCATGTGTCCTTAAGAGAAAATCATCTCACCTGCTTTTTCTCTAGATATTGGGCTGTATCTGTGAAAAAGATCCGTCTTTTCCTCATCAAATTGAGACAGCCCTGTATTTGGTCTGAAAGAAAATTTAAAACCACCTTAACAAATAGATTCTTAAAATTAAAAAAATATATATCATTTTTCAAAACACTAATTAATCAACATTTTTACTTACTACTTATATGATTAATAATAATTGGCAATGGAAGAACACCTAAATTTTATTTAAAAATTAACTAATATCACTTAATTACATGTACAAAAAATTACTACCACACATAGAAAAAGTTTGAAACAAGTAACGGTAATGGTAAACCATTCACATATTTAATCACAGCTATAAATAGAAATTAGAACATTATCAATGATAGTTGGGACTTTCAGGTGTTGCTGACAAAATGTACATCAGCATAACATTTGATGAAAAGCATTCTGATGAGAGTATTGTAATACTATATCCCTCCCCCCCCCCCCCCCCATACCCTTTTTGCCTGTGTCATGTTCCCCTTAAAAATGAGAAAGGCTGTATTTCCATCAAAAGTCAGTGAAGCTGAACCAAATGCAAACTTGATCTGTGACTCAAGGTAGACTACCATACCAAAAATCTGCTCACTATTTCCAAGCATGTATTTAAAAAAAAAGTCCAGAAACCAAGTGGAACAGACTGACTCACAGACAATGGGGCAGACAAACAAACAGATGGACAAAAGAGGAGGAGATGAACTGATGGACAAGGAGGAAATCAAAAGTCCCCTACTGTTTCCCCAGTCTGGGACTAAAAAATTTTCTGTACATTGATTGAACTCATTTCATAATACATGACTATTCTAATGCTTACATTTGTTCTGAATCAAAATATTCAGCATTTGCCAATGTATAATAGCTGATAGTATGTGAGTTAGGCAAATGTCACTATCTACTTATATTCCAAATATATTAATATCTTATAAATATTGTAACGAAATATGCTGTGCCTAAATATTTGTATTAAACCTGGTATAAATAATTACTTTTCCTATACTCTACAGCATTTCATTATAATAATACGTTGGCTCTGTACCTTTTGACGGTCAACAAAAAGTCTTTGCATAAAAGAAACATATAATAATTTATTATATAAAAGTATAAAACAAGATATTTGGAACTTCCTCGTTATGTAAGAAAGGTGTAAAAATAGAAGGTGCACCACTCTGGGAACGAAGGTACAAAGATATGGAAATGAAAGGGCGAAGCAGATGTTGCTAAGGTAAACAGAACTGCAGAAGGAGAGTATGCTGCAACTCTGGTAACTGGAGAAGGTGCACACTATTACGATGAAATATTCACCTTTTGTAATTTGGAAGGGTTGTTTACGGAAGCCCATTTAGGACCTATCAAAAAAAATTTTTGAATTCGATATAACAAATTGTAGAATTTGTTATAACAAATTTAATTCGTAATAACAATTTCTTTCAATTCATTATAACGAATTTAATTGTTATAACAAATTTGTTGAATTCGTTATAACGAATTTAAAAATTTGTTATAACGAATTAAATTCGCTATAACGAATTCAAAAATTTGTTATAACGAATTAAATTCATTAAATCAAATTCAACAATCAGGGCCTATAAAAATATGTATAAATTTGATATAACAATTTATCGAATTCGTTTTAATGAATTTAAATCATTATAACAAATTTTTGAATTCGTTACAATGAATTCAACAAATTTGTTTTAACAGATTAAATTCATTATAACGAATTCAAAGAAACTGTTATAACGAATTCAATTCGTTATAACAAATTCGACAATTCGATATATTCAAAAATATTTTTTGATAGGTCCTAAATGGGCTTCCGTAGTTGTTAAACACCTTCTGGGCCATTTTACTATTGGCTAAATCTCCGTAGTCTAATCGTAATTTGGAAAGTCTGACACATTCAGCGAGCCTCACTGTGTATACACACAGAAGAGCTATGACGCTATCCAATCAGTGAGTGGCTAACAAAATTGCGCATGCGAATCTTCAAGCCAAAGTAACTGGGAGGGAAATCGAAGCACAAAAGAGCTGAAAATATGAATTATGGATAAAATATCGCTTATGGTCGATGGTGAAACATCTAATAAACACAGGTAAGCACTTCTGTGCATAATGACACATATCTAATGCCACAAGGATCGAGAACAACATCCTGAATGAATGTAAACAACACATTCAGTCCTTGTGAAACGGCATGTTTCAACTTTTGCTTTCAATCAATTGAAAGCGAATGATTATAAATAAATTGGAATAAAACACATATTATCACTCAAAATATCGTATCTACACTCCATAGTAATGTGTAAATATCCATTTTATCTACACTCCATAGTAATGTGTAAATATCCATTTTAAACTAAAATAATAATCATACGTGATAACCATGGATGACACAAGGTACAGGCCCATGTAAATTCATAACAATATGTTTTCTTTTAACTGTGTCAAATCTTTCCATTCTCATTCAGATCATGGTTGACTTTCCGTCACTGGTATACAATGTATGTTCAGTATTTCAGATTGTCGAAAGTCAAAAATTGTATGTTTCTATATATCTTAACACAGATAATTTAATTTCTAGGTTCAAAGTTTCTAATGAAAATAAATTTTCAATACAAACATGTACATCAATATATGAATTTAAAAATTAAAGGAAATATTTCATTAAGTTTTCCTATAATCAAGGAGAATGGAGTGTCTGTACCAGTTTATGATTTCAGCATGTACACTCAGATTGTATTTTCAAATAACTATTTCTGGAAATTTAGGAAAAGTAAGAGATGAGGCAATAAAGCTGCAGGCAAAATAATGGCACTGAATGAAATGTACGAGATATTTTCTGATATTTGTAGCAAGCATGGTGATACTCAGGACATGTTTTGTATGGATTGTAATGAGAAGATATGTCTCATATGTGGTCGGCAGGACCACATTAACCATAACTGGAGTAGGGCAGCAATAATTCTGGGAAACCTGAGATCTGAACTCCAAGAACAGCGTCATATTATAAAAAATAAAAGAATCCCTCTTCTGCAAGCTGAAATCAAGAAAATCAAGTCTCTGAAAAAAGAGAACATGAAGCTGGCCACTGCAATAGAAGAGAAAATCTGGAAGCATCTAGAGGTTCTTGAAGGAAGTCTACAAAAAAATTCTGATCAGCTAATTAGTTCATGTAGAAATCTGAAGGAAGAAGGTGATGAGAAATTAGACAATAAAGAAAAAGAAATAATGACATATTTGGCAGAATTTGAATCCTGTTTCAACAAAATGCAAGAAAATGAATTTACAGGTATATCGCAATTGCTGGAACTAAAAACAGGACTGTCTCGAGTATCTGAACCTCTGAAATTGGCGGATGAAGACGTGACATTAGAGAAGGTCACCTTTCAGGAAGGAGGCCATGTTGAAAGTGCTTTACTATCCATGATTGGTGAGATATCACTGCATTACAAGAACATTACATTCACAAAAATATTTGCAGCAAGAAGAGGAGAGAGAGACATCAAGTACATATCTCCCTTGACAGAAACACTGGCATGGTTTCGAGAAGTTGGAACTGCAGACCATATAATGATTAATATTAAGAAAAACAATACAGATGACATCTACAGGTATACAACGTCCAACTTTCAGTATTTCCCTGAAGACTTCATAACTTTGAATAACGGAATGCATGTTTTCACATGTCATTCACATCAGTGTGTGATAAAAATGTCTCTCATGTGTTCGGATATTGAAGAATTGACTCCTGCCACTTTCACAAAACTGGCAGATATTTCTCCACTTTTTCCTGTCGGTATTTGTACTACAGCAACTGGCTACTACCTCCTCACTGCAATAGACACACTAGCATTGTCAAAAGATATTTATTCTATCAAACAGCCAAAGACCAGTGTAGTCCTTGTTATAACAGATAAAGGAAAGATTAAACAGGTTTATCAATATGCAAACGATGAGAAAACAAAATTGTTTTTCTATCCCTACCGAATTGCAGAAAATAGTAACGGAGATATTTGTGTTATTGACAGAACACAAGCAGACAGTGGACATATATGTGTTCTCTCTTCATCAGGAAAATTCAAATTCCTCTATAATGGTTCAAATCAAAAGTCTAAATTCTCTCCCTTTGGAATTTGTTGCGATGCTTTCAGCAACATACTCATAAGTGATAACAAGTGTGTGCACTTGGTAAACAAAAGTGGAGAATTCCTGACCTATCTGGCTATAGCCGATGTGGCACTAAGGTCTCTGTCCATGTTTAACAGCACCCTGTGGATAGGAGGAACTACTGGATTTGTTTATGTCTACAGATATGAACTGAGTGATTCTTAATTACTATTGTAAAAGTAGAAATATTCGTTGAGGATTTAATATTGTTTATTTCGAATAGTTGTCAACAATTAGCAACGAAATTTAATCCCCCAAGATTTTTTTATAACTACATGTATATATTGAAGAGGGTTATTTTTGAAACAACGAAATTTAATGCCTACGAAACCTTTATGGATGACAAATCAACGAAATTATATCGCCACGAAAATTTGTGCTTTTACAGTAAATCTGTGCTTTTAGTAACTTTCATCTAAAAACAAGATGAAGTTCAGAAACAATGTCTCCAGAGTAACTACTTTTTAATGGACACACATTCCTATGCAACAATGATCTTAACATAGTGGCTTAATTTATAAGTGTGCTATTTGATTCACTATTAGAGTACAAATACATAAAAAATTCCTGTTATTCAAAATAGCATCACCAAATTTTCCTACCTGGCAATGGTGAAGAGATGAGAAGAGCCCTCTTTCTGTGTTGCTAACAAGTACATCTTCCTCCCGTACATGTCACGTTTAGAGATGTAAAAGCCGTCATGCTTTCCTTTGTAGTTGTCTGCCCTTGTTGTAGCCATTTCCCAACTCATTCCACGATCAACATTCAGCTCCACTAAGCTTTACAAACAATCAAAGCCATCCATTAAATTTTCCAGTATTTGAAAAACCCTACAAATCATTGAATTTTTACCCAAAGTCATTAATTCAATGAGCATAAAAAATGCATCCTTATTTCAAATTTATCACGATGTTTATTTGTGCAAATAAATGTCAGGCAACTAAATGTATGACCCTCTACATACCATTGTACATTGTACAGGCAGAGAAGGACACAACTATTTTCATTTCAAGTTCAATAAATAATTCAGTTAAAATTAATATATAGTAATTTAGTAGATTATACAACTAGCTTGAAATTGTAAAAAATACTATGAACCAACTATCATTTGCCAGAGCTTTTATTCCTGATTCGTAAGTTTAAAATTCTTCCGTGACTTAATTTTTGTGACTGGGGAAACATTCTACATAAATACACAATCAAACTAATGGTTTACAGCAAGAAATATTTATGAGTAAAAAGTTCACCAAAGCTTGGTATATGTTTTGTGCACATGAATAAAAGTTGGTTTACCGTATTTGCATATACATACATACAATTCCGTACACCGTATATGTATGTCATACACGTGATATGTACGTGGTACATGTATGTCACATATTTTTAGGGATCAAAGGCAGGACACAAGAATTCAGGGGAAATGAAAATTTTTCCTGTACAAGTATTTTGAATTTTTTTACCAGAAACCACTATTTTATGACATATACATGTACATGTATGTCATCACACATGACTTACTGTGCTTGGTTAATGTAAACAAAACCCATCACCACTGATGGTGTTAATGATTAAATTGTTATCAAATTGTATCAAAATTCTCCAAGGTTGAATTGTTTATATAAAATACTTTTTTCAATATTTTGTACAAATTTTTCACCTAAATTCCAGTATTTTGAAGGCTCCTGTACATTATTTGGGTCTGAAACTTATCACATGTATGTACATCTTATAAAAGATACTAACTTACATTTGTTGAATTTGTAATGGTGGATGATTTATAGTATCTATATATGTTATTAAATCTTTGTTATTTATTTCAATGTATCTAGTCACGTATTAAAATGAATAATTATTGTAATATTGTGTTGTGTAACATTATACTATTATTATATTATTATTATACTACATTTAATGTCGGGTTCGTTGCCGACTTTGCGCGTGTGTCAGGCCGTTCGGGACAACGTCTGGACGTCTGTTAACGGCCTGACCACCGTGACGTTCGCAACGGCCAGATTAGATCAGTGCTAGACTGAGACAAGCTGCGAGTAGGTATCCACCATCCCCTAGACTTGTAATATTGTTAATTGTAACTTATTTATTTATTTATTTCATTTAATAAACCTTTGTTAACCTTTAAAAATGTGTTTCTCTCTGTAAATCACTGAATCTGGATTAACATGGAAACGTACAGGTTTCCCGTTACATTTTTGGGGGCTCGTCCGGTGATTTACAGTTGAGAACATTTTTCGGTCTATTGTAAAAAAAAAAAACAAACAAACGTATCAACAATTTATGTTCAGAATTTTAGGAGGTATTTAAAGAAAAACATTTTTTTTTCTACATTGTATTTTTATGGTTTAAATGGCGTCAACACTTTTCAGTAATCTGTCCAACAAATTTAGGCAATGGTTTAGCTTTCATGAACCGGAAGCAAGGGCTAGTACTAGTGAAGAAAGGAGCGGATCTCACGGAAATAAAAATATTTCCAACAAAACTCAGGAAATTCAAAATCAGCACAATTTCTGCGATGCGGACATAAGATCAGATAGACCTACATGTATTCAAAGACCAATTGTTGACAATGACATACCTGTTTCATGTTTCGTGGAAAATAAAGAAGTTCATGCTTCTTGTAATGTTAGGCCTAATGCTAGTGCACCATACCGACAAGAAAACCATGGGGTTTTTCAAACAAGTCTGGAAAACGGTCACAATGTAGGGTTTGAACGAAATGTTCAGAACAATTTTGACTCATATCTGAGTGATAACATGTCCAATCCATGTGAAAAACTGTCACAAAATAGCTCAGCTTCTCAGCGTATTTTCAATCGAGGCGATCACGTGACACAAAACGGGTACTGGGGTACAGAAAGGGGAGATAAAAACGACCCATATTACTCTGGTCGAACCAGGGGAAATTATTTTGCACATAGTACACCTATGACAAATATTGAAAATCGAAATGTGGTGTCGAATTGTGAAACAAATAAAACCCCTCATCGGGAGGTTACAAACAAAATGCAATATTTTGAACCAGAAAATAAAATTGAAGATGAAAGAGAAAATTACTTTTTCTCAAGATGCGGTCAAGATAATGTCACTTCTCTATATCCGAGATGGTCAGATGGGGATCAAAGTTCATTAAATTACCCTTCCCCAAATGTTCACTACAGTTCAGGGTCGAGAGTAGAAAATGATTATTTCGCTGAAAATAAATACGGCGCGCAGTCGGTCTATCCATTAGACTCAGAGGTTCGAACACCTTACCGGAATTATTTTGATCGGAATGATCAAATACCTCCTGTTAAACATTCTTTTGAACCAATGAAAAAAATGCCCAACAATGTGAAAAATTTTCAGAATTCTGAATGTCGTTTGATAAATGACAATTTTAGCAAACAAATGTTTCCAACAGGTGCACAAACGTTCGAATGCCCTGGTCAATTGAATGCAAATAATTACTTTCTAGATCAAAGACGTAGACAAAGAAAAGAAAAAGAACCCGATCTTTTTACCGGAGAAAACGTGGAATGGGCAGATTATATTTGCCATTTTGAACAGGTGTCACTTTGGAACAAATGGTCAGAAAGAGAAAAAGCAGCACAACTCGCAATGAGTTTACGAGGTGCTGCTCAGCGAATTCTCGGTGATCTGTCTCGTGACCAGTTAACAAATTACGAATCTCTAAAATCAGTTCTAACGCAAAGATTCAATCCCTTAGAGCGCGAGACTGCTTTCCGCTGCGAGTTCCGGAACCGGAAACGACTTTCAGGAGAGACAGCAGCTGACTATGGCTACTCCTTAAAAAGACTAGCTACTCGCGCATTTCCGACAATACCAGTTTCACTTCGTGAGAGTATTGTTATTGAACAGTACATTAACGGACTAGGTAGTCAAGAAATAAGAAGACATGTGCAATTTGCACACCCTACTACGTTAGACAGGGCTATATCTCTTGCCCTGGAATTCGAGGCATTTGAAGGAGTTCAAAGTAATACTCCTCGCAAACCAAAAGATACTGAAATTCAGTCTGTCCGAGCGCTGAAAGCAACAAACGAGTCTAATAATCTTGAAAATAAAAGACTTTCAGAATTAGAAAAATCGCTTGCTCTGATGCAAAAATCTATTCAAAAATTAACAGAAAGAGAGAACCAAAATGGCAGAATAATTTCTCGCCGTACGCAAGATGAAACTCGAAAGAAAATCGTCAAATGCTATAACTGTAACCAAACAGGTCACATTAGTAAATTTTGCCCAAAGTCACAAACACCCATACTTGCATCAAGTCCTAGAAAGGTTACATTTTCGGATTCTGTCTCAAAATCTGGTGATTTAAACTAAGTGGGGCTGAGCTCGGGGCCAAAAGCCCAGCCCACAACGATTTAACTACTGAAAATTTGACAAGGCCCTCTGTAAGGTTGTCGGCAATCTCTAAGAGTTGTTGGTTTTCTATTGTTGAGATTGGTGGTTTGAGCGCAAACATGCTCATTGATACCGGCTCATCGGTGTCTCTGTTATCAAAGGAGATATATGAGACTTTGAGTTTCAGACCGATCTTAACAAAAGTAGCAAACAAGTTAACCACAGCTGACGGTGAACCCCTGCGTGTTTGTGGGAAATCGAATTTCCCGCTCCGAATGAATGGAGTAAATTTTAATTACCCAATTATAATTGCAGAATTGGGTGATCTTCATGGTATATTGGGATTAGATTTTTTGTCTGACAACGAAATGGTAGTGGATACTTGTAGAGGAATTTTGATGTCCTCGCACTTTCAAATTCAGTTATGCAGGGAAAATAGTTTAAATCATACGTGTGCAAGAGTTCAGATTTCTGAAAATGTTCGAATACCACCTAGGTCTGAGATGTTTATTACTGGCAATGTCAAAGGTAATATTTCGGATGATGTGACGTGCATCTTAGAGCCAGATAGGGACCAGACAGGATATGATGTCCTCATACCTAAATCAATTGTCAACATCACAAAATCATCTGTGGTGTTTTCTGTCCTTAATCCTACTGACAATGATATACATTTGAAAAAAAATAAATGCATAGCTAGTATACAAGCTGTAGATTGTATCATAGACAATGATGATTGCAAAGGTTCGGGAGTAGAAAATAAAGATATGTCTTTACAATCAAGTGTACCAGATCATTTGCAATCGCTGCTAGAAAATGTGTCAAATAAACTTTTATCTGTTGAGAAAAACGAGTTGAAACATTTTGTTTTACAATATTCTGACGTTTTTGTCGGATCTGACGGAAACTTAGGCCGAACTGACCTCACTGCTCATAAAATTGACACAGGGGGCGCGAAACCGATTAAGCTACCCCCAAGACGACTTCCAATATCTCAGCGAGATGTTGCTGAGCACGAAATAGAAAATATGTTACAGAAAGGAGTAATAGAACCTAGTAATTCTCCATGGGCTTCGCCCATTGTTCTAGTAAAGAAAAAGGACGGCTCAACGCGTTTTTGCGTTGATTATCGGCGCTTAAATGCTGTCACTGTGAAAGACGCATATCCACTGCCTAGAGTGGATGAATCTTTTGATTCACTAGCCGGTGCCAAATATTTCTGCACACTCGACTTAGCCAGCGGATACTGGCAAGTGGTTATGCATCCCGATGATAGACAAAAGACAGCCTTTGCTAGTCATAAGGGATTATATGAATTTACGGTAATGCCTTTCGGACTGTCAAATAGTCCGGCAACGTTCGAACGATTAATGGAGATTGTACTTTGCGGACTCCAGTGGGAGAAATGTCTAGTCTATTTAGACGATGTCATTGTTTTTGGAAAAACTTTTCAAGAAACTTTAGAGAATTTAAGACAGTTTTCGACCGATTTAGGAGCGCAAAGTTAAAACTGAAACCTAAGAAATGCGTTCTTTTCAAAGACGAAGTGTCATTTCTCGGTCACGTAGTCTCAGCTAACGGCATTCAGTGTGATCCGACGAAAATTATCGCGATTAAGGAATGGCCGGTACCCGAAAACATTTCGGATGTTAGAAGTTTTCTGGGACTTGCGTCGTATTATCGTAAATTCATATACAATTTCTCATCAATCGCTTACCCTTTAACAAGACTAACACAGAAAAATAAACCATTTGAATGGACCGCAGAAAGTGAAAATGCTTTCACTACTCTTAAAAAGTTACTGACAGATACCCCGATACTATCATATCCTGACATCAAGGAAACGTTTATTCTTGATACCGATGCTAGCGCATTTGGCGTTGGTGCAGTCTTATCGCAGATACAAAACGGTCAAGAAAAGGTTATAGCGTACGGAAGTAAAACACTGTCCAAATCTCAAAGCAAATACTGCACTACGTATCGCGAACTTCTGGCTGTTGTCATTTTCATTAAACACTTCAAGCATTATCTTTATGGGAGACATTTTCTCCTTCGCACCGACCATTCGTCTCTCCTTTGGCTGAAGAATTTTAAAGAACCGGAAGGGATGTTGGCCCGATGGCTTTCCTTTCTAGAGACGTACGATTTCGAGATTAAACATAGGAAAGGTTCTCTGCATGGAAATGCAGACGGTTTATCTAGACGCCCCTCGCGCCGATGTAAGAGATTTGACTGTAACCAATGTTACGGTACCTTGCCAAGCAGCAAAGACAATATCTCAGAGGAGTCAGATAGGCAAAACAATGCCTGTATCGAAACCAACCAAACAGTATCAGCAGTCACAAATAAACAAAACCAGAAAAATAAAAATGATCAAACATTGTTAAGTTCAAATTGGTTAGGTATTGATGTAGATATTGAACGTTTACAGTCAGAGGATGATACAATAAAAACAGTAAGAGATTTCTTGCTTGCGTCAAATGAACGTCCTACATTAGCAACTTCAGACAAAGAACTTGATTTTCTGTTAAAGCAATGGTCGGTACTTGAGGTTAAAAATAATATCCTTTACCGAAAATGGGAGAATGAGGACAGGTCCATTACTTTGCAATTAGTTGTTCCGAAGTCAATTAGAAAAGAAATCATGATTCAGTTGCACAACAGTAGACTTGCTGGTCATCTGGGCCGCGAGAAAACCCTAAAGAAAATTCGATCGCGATTTTACTGGCCTGGTATGTCCACGGATATTCGTAGATGGTGCCAAAACTGTATGTTTTGCCAGAAACGGAAACCAGGCCCGGGGGTGGGAAAATCTCCAATGAAACATGTAGATGTTTCAGCGCCTTTAGATGCTATTGCCATTGACATCATGGGTCCTCTACCTATTACGGAAAATGGAAATCAGTACATAATGGTCGTTGGTGACTATTTCAGCAAATGGATCGAGGCATATGCATTGCCTGTACACACAGCTCAATCTGTAGCTGACAAATTAGTAACCGAGTTCATTTGCCGATTTGGTACACCTCTGCGTATCCATACAGATCAGGGACGCGAATTCGAATCCAACTTATTTTCAAAATTATGTCAGCTTTTAGAAATTGATAAGTCCCGTACTACACCGTACAGACCCCAATCTGACGGCATGATAGAAAGATTTAATAGAACTTTACAGCAAATGTTATCTATGTTTGTCAATGAAAATCAAAATGATTGGGATGATCATCTCCCATATTTAACAATGGCATATAGAGCATCTGTACAAGAGAGCACAAAGTGTACCCCAAACAGAATAATGTTAGGAAGGGAAATTTCAGTTCCTATTGATATTATGGTGGGATCACCATTAGATATACATAGATCCCCGTGCCCTGTTCTGTATGTAGACTGGATAGAAAAAGCTATGCAATTAGCTTTTGAGTTTGCACATGACAACCTACAATGTAGTTTTCAAAAACAAAAACACTATTATGACATGAAAACGAAACCTAGACAATTTGAAGTAGGTACTTTGGTACTACGTTGGTATCCACCAACTGGAAAACAAAAATTAGGCTTAGGATGGACGGGTCCTTACGAAATTGTAAGGAAACTATCTGATATTACAGTTGAAATAAGAGACTGTAAAAGTTCTAAACTCAAAATTGTTCATATTGATCATCTTAAATTGTTCAAAATAAATGAAACAGAATCTCAGAGTGAATATTCTCAGTTGTATTCGGACAAAAACTCTGTATCTGATGACAGTGTTGAAGACATGATAGAAACGCAGTGTTTCACAAGAGCAGGAAGACTTGTAAAACCCCCGTCCAGATTTTCCCCATAAATAAGCATTTTTTTAAGAAGGGGGGGGGGGGGTATGTCTGTGTTATAAATAGTTTATAGTATTTCTTTTTATTTTATTTTAAAGGATGGACTTTGAAGATTTTACTTTAGATCTCCTGGTGGATGATAAAGAAATGGACTTCTTACAAGACGCCCCTGTCTTTGCACCTCTAAGTTCTGAGACATCAAAGAACATTGAGTTCTTTTTCTCATCTGACATGACTTGTCCTGTGGATGGATGTCCTCCAGCACTGACTTTCAATACAAAGGCCAAATTTCAACGACACTGGATGGAGAAGCATCTCCCAGAGGTCATATCCTATTCATGCCCAGTAGTCAACTGCAAGGTCGCCCGCCGTAGACGGTATGATATGAAAGTTCATCTACTTCGAGTCCATGGGACCAGCAAAGGATTTGTGGAAAGTATTCTTTCCAAGAGTCAGAAAACATCAAGACCCAATGCATCTTTCATTCATCCTGGAAGTTACACATTCTACGGCAGGACCAGACCACCTGTGGCTAAGGATGCTCTTCCTCCAGTGCCGTTGACTTCTACATCTGTGCCTGTGGCCTTATCCTCCTCTCCTGTGGTGCCTGATGAGGTTCCCCTTTCCGTTTCTGATGTGTTGGAACCACCTACCAAGAAGACCCTCACAGTTCAGGAGTACCTCTCTCGACCAGTGTCCTCGATTCTGCGACCTCTCCATGTTTCTACCCAGACCAGGTGCCAGGATTTCCCTCCTTTTTCTCTTCCTGACGTCCCTGAGACGCAAGAAGAAATCCTAGCTTACATTCATTGGTTAGACAGCCTTTTCAACTCTATCAATCTCAAGAGGAAAACAGCCGAGGAAAAACTTGCGTGTTTGAAGACTACTTCCTCTGAACTTCTCGTGGAAAGGGAGAAAAGACGCAAACTGGAGGCCGAGAACCTGCGCCTGCGGAAGGAACTGGCGGACCTCAAAGCTGTTAATCTTTTGTTTCCTGAACTGTGAGGTATTGTTTCTTTCCATCATCCTTTCATCTGTGCTTGTGATTTAGAGACTGTATCTGGTGATCTGTAACTTGCAGATTTGTTTTGTAAACTGTAATTGTAATGAAATAATTTCAAATCCTTTGTATTATAATGATACATGTACATGTTTTATATTATGTATAATATGGATTGTTAATTGAAAATCGAATATTCTTTGTTGCCAAATATGATGTTGTTACATATTGTTATGTATTGCAATGAATGCTTATAGCTGTTATAAAAAATTACTATCTTTATACTTATGTACTTGACTAATGTATGTGTCGCATACATTAGGTCTTAAGAAGGGGAGAGTGTAATGGTGGATGATTTATAGTATCTATATATGTTATTAAATCTTTGTTATTTATTTCAATGTATCTAGTCACGTATTAAAATGAATAATTATTGTAATATTGTGTTGTGTAACATTATACTATTATTATATTATTATTATACTACATTTAATGTCGGGTTCGTTGCCGACTTTGCGCGTGTGTCAGGCCGTTCGGGACAACGTCTGGACGTCTGTTAACGGCCTGACCACCGTGACGTTCGCAACGGCCAGATTAGATCAGTGCTAGACTGAGACAAGCTGCGAGTAGGTATCCACCATCCCCTAGACTTGTAATATTGTTAATTGTAACTTATTTATTTATTTATTTCATTTAATAAACCTTTGTTAACCTTTAAAAATGTGTTTCTCTCTGTAAATCACTGAATCTGGATTAACATGGAAACGTACAGGTTTCCCGTTACAAATTCAATACAATAACACAGGCCTTAAAATAATTTTTCCTGTCTTGTCAGAAAATACAAACTCTACAAAGACAACATATATATTACTTACTTCGTAATTGCATGGTTTTTGTTGAAATCTTTAAAGACTTCCTTTGGTTTTCCCACCATTTCTACAGATGATGCCGTGATGTCTAGTAAGCCTTCGTTGTATCTACCCTCACTTTTAGCATTGTCTATAGATACTGTCATACATTCTATGAAGTATTTAAAAATCTGGAAGGAAAAATACACATACTTCTTTAAACCTCTGTCCAATACTTTACCAAGTGTAATTTACAAATGTTCAAGCAATATTACTGTACACATGTTACAAAATCAAATATACACGTTTAAGATCTTTTTATTTTCTTACCTACTATAACTGTGGAACATTTTTTTATTCTTCAAAATACGGCTACAATGTTGATGCAATGTTAAATATTTGGACTCGCACTTTTAGAACTGAGATGGTTACTTACACAGTTCTGTTTGGCTACAGACAATCCCAGAATACGGTTGAGGAATCTCGAGACGTCTCCAGCATCTCGATCCTTGATCTGTATCCCTACCCTGAGGGCCTCTACATCAATCAGCCCCATCAGAATCAGCGACTCCTACAACAACAAACAGCAACAAAATACAAGCGCTTCTTATTAAGCAAGTACAAGATAAGCACTTCAGTTTTAAGTGCATTAAAATTTTTTCACATAGCAGTCGATGAAGTTTGGAAGGACAAAAAAATAATAACTGGCTATTTTACTAGAGTTGGTAACTCATTAACTCTTCTGAGAATTGAAATTGAATCATAAAAGAATGATATTTTAGCAAATTGATCATCATATGCTAAGAGGTTATAATTACAAAATACAGCTGAACTTTCACTACTGGACGAAAAAAGTGCTGAGAATCCCAAAATTTACTGATAATGTTTGATAATCACTGATACTGTGCTGTTCTTGCTGATAAATACTGATATTTACTGTTATTCTTACTGTTGTTACTGATAATTTTAGTTGTTTCTGATAAATACTGATAATTACTGTCGTCTTTACTGTTGAGTCTGATAAACACTGATAAATACTGTTGATGTGCTGTCGATGCTGAGATTTACTGATAATTACTGTGGTCCTTGTTCTTGAGCAAGAAGGTGCTAAAATAGAGCTTTGGGTTGTTAAAACCTTCTTCAATCATTACTTTCTTTTTTATTTAATTTTCCCAACAACATTTTCATGTTTCTTTATATTTACTGCTTGTGACAAAAATATGATACTGGTCTCAATTATAATACGGCCGTGAAAATCTTGACAATTATAATTAAAGTTAACCATTAAATAAAATTGTCAGCGTAAAGGCAAGTGTTTTCCAAGAATCTATGAAAATAGTACATGTATGTCTGTAAGCAGAATAAATGGAATTTTCCTTTTGCATAAAGATTTCATTTTAAATAAGTCACTGTAATACTAAAACATTAAGGCTTAAAAAAAAAAAAAAGAAAAGAAAAAAAAGATTGATAGCCCGACTCAAGAAATTTGGGTAAGGAGGTTGGTGAATTTTTTCATTAAAAAACACTGAAGTGGAAATAATTATTAATGGATGGGCTAAAATCGGGATAAAAAAAATTCCAGCAGAATAGAAAAAATTTGATTCGGACTTTTTTTTTCACTCGGTCAAGAGAGGACGACAAACAATCATTTTCTTTTTAAAGATGGCCTTACATGATAGCATTTTTTTTAAATTCTTCCCCAAAGATATGCATAGTTTTTAATTTTTTTTTTTTAATGTTCGGTCTTTCGGATCTTTTTTCCCCTGAAAATCTGCCCGAAACTGATAAATTTATGGGTTTTTTTTTTTTTAATAAATTGAGAGATGAAAAAAAGGGGTGAATATGTTCAGTCTGTAGGCACATATTTATTTATTTATTTATTTTTAAGGAATACGTAATGCAAGCATCCGTAGATCGTCCCAGAATATAACTCTGCTACATGTTTATACATGTGCAACCGGCAGATGGGGGCTGATCAAAAATTATTTGTCAGAATTATAGTGTAAGTGCAATGGTATACACGTGTACATGTAATTATGATGTTGGTTTCTTACAATTTTACAAGTCACCACATAAAACATTTTTATTCAATAAGTTTTAAAAATCTCATTCATTTAATTGAATTTTTATGGAATGGAAAATAAGAAATGGGACCTACTAAATGTAAATAATGGATTATTAAGTTGATCGATTTTAATATTGTAAGGTCACAGATCTGAATGGAATACACGTTTAAATTGATCAGAAATCAAAGATCAACCCGTGATTTGGCTTTATTGTGTACATGTCTTAGGCACTGGGGCAGAACCGGGTACAACATGTATATTCCATGTAAGTTGTAGTGGTCAGCGTAACAATGGGCACTAATTACCTATTGTTCTGCGTCTGCGGCCACCGGTGTTAATAATAAACAAATGAACCTGCACTGTACAGTCATGTACACTTGTACTTGCTACTTATCTTTATGAATGCACAAAAAATTTAATATTTGTTATCGATTTGGTTGACAAATTAAATTGATAGAAAAATGTTTAGCAATATAGGACACAGTACAAAATAAAAAAAAAAAAAAAAGAGAAATGAAGTTATACACATTGTACAAACTTATTAATTAAATGAAGTAACTTAAACATGTCAAAATAAAATAGATTTATTTTAATTCACGTCGATCTTTGCTCAGTATTTAATTTCATTTTCTAGTTTTACGTACATTTCTTGAGATAAAGTTTAAAGAATATCCAGGGGGAGGGTGCTACATGTAAATTCATTTGAATCTCTGTTAACAGTGTTTATGGGCCTGTAAAACGGAGACGAGAAATTGATAAGGAAGAGTTCGACTTTGTTTATCTAATAAATAATTATGCAAAATTTATACGAGATTTTTTTTTTAAAAGATGGTTTAGTGATTTAGCAATTTGTGTAATGATATTAGCATCAACTGTTCACAGTTCAGAACATCGCTGAATCCGAGAAAAAAATCTGTTATGAATTATCGGAATGTAATAGTAACATGCTGATCGCACTCATGAATAAATGTTATTATAATAGCTGAATTTTGTATTGTTTCTTGATTCTCTAAAATAATTTATTCCTGTATATTAAAGATATTTAGTAATTATTATATGTATAACTTATGGAACTTAAAACTAAAGAATCAACCTTGCGCCTATCAGCTTAGTTAACAGTCTTTCACCCCCCCCCCCCCTTTTTTCTGCTACAGTCTGAATAACTAATTGAATCATGTCGCGTGTACTTTGAGTACATTGGTCTCGCAAAAAGAGAAATGGACAACAAATATTATGCTCTCTGTACAAGGTTATTTCTAATTTTACTAATGTTACTAAATGCATATCGTAAGAAATACAACGTGTACTAATATTTGACCCGATTCTCAAAACGAAAGTAGAAACTGGACATGTGAATATTTTACACAGTGTTTTAAGAACAACCGAGTAATTTCAAGTTTTGTTTTATTTCGTTTTTTAACTGACTGACCGCGTATAAGCAGGTTACTATTTTTTTTTTTTTAAATTGATCTAGCTGTTACCAGTAATTACGCACATCGTACTAACGAAGAAAGATCTCCGTATTTCATTGAATGAAAATCACACTGCATAAGATTTCTATCTCTTGGTGGCTTGTTGTTTAAAAAAAAAAACAACGAAAGATAGATAGCTTGATACCACAAAATGATATTAAAAGAATTGCGAGGAGGACATAAATTATAGATCTAGAGAGCACTAGCTAAAAGAGATAATTCAACAAATTTAAGATCATGATCAAATCTTATTATTTGAACCTGTCACATTCTTCCTTAAAGGGCATAGTATATGTTATATGAATAGATTTTTTGTGAGAAATATTTAATACTGCCTTGTTAAAAGGAGAATGGTTTGTAAAGGGGGGGGGGGGTGTCTCAACTAACAGAGCAGACGGAACCCATGTTACTAGTCAAATATTCAGGTTCTCTACATGCAAATATAAATTCAATTGCAACCATTGACTGTATTGAAGATGCTTCCTAAAATTTTTAACGACAGTACAAATACACGCTGAAAAAATATGAGATGGGATTTTTTAAAAAAAACCTTTGTGAATAAAAAATTGTTTTAAAAAGTACCTGCATAGGTAGAGTAACAACTGCATGAACACCCCCCCCTTTCAGATATTGACAACAAAGGAGAAATATAAAGATAAAGGAAAACATAAACATTTATGATCTAATTTTAACATTAAGATGTATAAAAATTAATAATAAAATAAAAATAAATAAATGAATAATGAAATTTGAAAACAAATAATTCATGTGACTTTTTCATTTACAATTTAATTAGTAAGTAGATTGTAATGAATTTTGTTGATAAAATACTTTCTTTAAAATAATTCATCATCACTCAAGTTTTTTTTAGCACCTTCTCAGCTCAAGAACAATGACCACAGTAATTATCAGTAAATCTCAGCATCGACAGCACATCAACAGTATTTATCAGTGTTTATCAGACTCAACAGTAAAGACGACAGTAATTATCAGTATTTATCAGAAACAACTAAAATTATCAGTAACAACAGTAAGAATAACAGTAAATATCAGTATTTATCAGCAAGAACAGCACAGTATCAGTAATTCTCAAACATTATCAGTAAAATTTGGGATTCTCAGCACTTTTTTCGTCCAGTAGTGTTTGGTGTCTCAAACATTGATGTCTCAAAAAAGATGTACACGTCAAAGTGATTTGGAAGTGCCAACCACTTTTTCTTTATTATTTTACCCTCTACATCTCAAATACTTGGATTTCAAAAAAATGTTCATGATCACATCTAGTTCAATATAACAAGGTTAAAATGTTGTTCCAAATATTGGTGAATTTAAATCATAAACAAACACCTTATACATTATAAAGTTGGGGGGGGGGGGGGGGGGGTTACATTCGGCAAACCTCGGCTGATTCCATCACCTTCATCAAACCTCGGCTGTACAAGGAAACTTGATATGCGTCTCCGCTTAATATTTGTGATAAGGCTGCCTGTTTACCACTTAGGGAAAATGTAACGCTTTGAAAATGCTAATAAACATGCATCTGACATACAATAAAAATTTTCAAAAGGATTTAGATAACACTAACAATAACACTTACCAAGAGACATGCACCAAGTATCTTTACATATCACGTTTGTTAACGGATCGAATTCAACTTACTGTGCACATGTAATATTGGTCGCAACCATATTGCATATAAAGTAGCTCCGGTCCAATGGAGGTTTACATGATACAGCCGAGGTTAGATGAGGTACAAATCGGCCGAGTTGTGCCGAGTGGGGGGGGGGGGGTTTGCTCCCTTAAATCTACACAATATTTCTTTTTAACAAATAGCATATGATTTTTTTATACCTAAATATATCAATTTTTAATAAAAATGGTTAACCTCTGGTTCTAACGAAAATATGTAGATGATTTATGCAATATCACCCACAATCACACTTTTTTACCTCTATACAAAAACGCACTTCATCAAACAGACACATCATTTGGGTGAAAATCGACACATCTTACCTGCATTACAGCTAGGAAGTCTTCCTCACTGTATTTCTCAGACACAGTCTTCATGTTGATACCTGGCAGTATCTTTCTCTGTGCAAGAAAACAGCACATAGGATTCATTTATTAAGGTCTTTTTATAGTATCAAACTTTTGTCATACTGCAAATAAAAACTTTCTGTAAAGCTCAAAATTAAACATATTTTTAACTATTGACTTTAAACTCCACCATTTCTCTCCAGATTGCAATTTATATTTCTTTGTAACAAGAAGCCAAGAGGATATAATTTACATATAACCTAACCTTAACTTTTGAATTTAAGACAATTACTCCAATGCCGAGATATAAATAGCTACATACTGTGCATACACTCTGATACATTGCTCTCAGAGCATTCCTTCCGTAAGGTGTATCAAAGTTAAATTCTGTCAAATCTGCCCCTGATGCAGCTCTCCTATCTCCCTTGGTTAGTGCACCTACGAACACAAAAACATAAAAAAAAAAAGACAAGAAAACATTGATGTAACCATCAATTGTCGCCCGGGAAATAAATAAAGTAAACAATGGAAATGAGTCTTTATCATCAAACCGCTTCGATATGTGTGAAAAAGGCATGCGTCTAAATGATGGAGACGATAGTCGAGAATATTTTGAAAACTTATAGTCGGATGAAAATCGAACAAAAACGATACCCTTTTAAACTTTATCAATTCCTCAAGTAAATGTTGGCTGCATAAAATATAAATTGAAACCAGACACATGCATCACCTATTTTCAAAAATATCTTTCACTTTAAGAATATAAAACACGAACTGTGTAAAGTACATTTTTACGTTTTTATGCGATAAGTAAAATTCGATGTTCTAAAAAAAGGGACCTGTCGTTTTTCCGATAGTAAATGATAAGCAAAAACATATATATTTTTACAGATTCACTTTATGGAAGTAAATATATTGTGTATCTCGTAATTTATAAAGGGAAAGAACATTCTGATTAACAATCTTTTTAATGTTTAGAAAACCTTTAATTCTGAATAACTTCTCCCACCTCAGTCCCCATATACCAACACTTAAACTTATATGTATAGAGCAGCCCGGTCCTCCGGGCTGCAATGACAAAGAAAGACAACTCTGTCTTTCTTTTAACTAACAATACTTTGTCATGTGTATTGGGACTTGCATGTATATTTGAATTCAGTAATTCAAGTACACAAAATATTATCCAAAACGTTCACAAAAAAATAGAGAAGACACAGGAAATGACTATATGTGTATCTGACACCTGTTTTCAGCTTTACTCCAAAAAAAAATTTTTAAAGTGACCAATAAATATATTTACCTAATGACTGCAACCTGCGTGCCACAGCAGCTGCAAATCTCCTCTCACCTCCCAAATCTGTTGTCAAGAGCTTATACATTGGACCACTGAAACAAGACACAAGAACAAAAATTTTCAATTTCTACTGAAAAGTTAAAATTTACAAAGAGTACACATTACTAATGAGAAGAACAGTTTATCTTGACATTTGACCTTTACCTTGATTGGTTTGACCTATGTGACCTTCCCAGCTGTTGAACAGCTTTGTCAGCACTCCATGGTAGCTCTACAGTCAGATGGATTCTCCTTCTCTGGTTGGCACAACGAACATCAGCATGTAAAGAAATACCTACAATGACCAAGTACTGTACATGTATACAAACATGTCTATATCTAAAATGAGTAAGCACCATGTACATCTAAAATGACCAAGCACAACATCTTAACTTTTTCCAGAGTCCAGTCTCCAGACAATCAAACTATGCATACGATGTCTATAAAACAATCTAATTCTTACCAGGAACTGTAACTTGAGATAAGTGGTCTAGATTTACTTGCTTTGGGTAAAGTTTATAATTTATTTTACTCTGCTGATTATGCAGATATTTTCTCTACTAATAAACGTAGTAGCTTACTGTATATACATGTACTCGCCTATAAGTCAGTTTTTTGGGAGTTAAATTTTAGTCCAAAACTCTGGGTCCGACTTACAGACGAGTCATAGAAAGATTGATATTTTTCTGGACAACAGAAGGTACCGTAATTTTTGGAAGATAGGACGATACTTTTTTTCTCAAAACCGCTCGGGTCGTCCTATTTACGAATCGTCCTACCTAAGGCTCAAGTTTACGAAAAAATACCCCCAAATCAGTAAAATTTACGTCAATTTTAAAACAGATTTGTGCCATTTTCGTATTTTTTAAAAATTATTTTACTGAGAAAAAAAATAAACAATAAAGAATTAAATATTTATTCCATTGATTTTTTACAAAATAAGTTCCATTAAATATCTGTCGATGTACAAATAAACTTATAATATCATCTAGACTAGTAAATAATGTCTCAAAGTATATTTACAACATGCTGTGTCCATCTTGTGAAGTTGGAAGTTGCAATCGTTTACTAAAAATAAAACTGCAACCGTATCAAAGTTTAAAATACGGAAGAGTTTTTCACCATCGCAATTGAAATCTTTTTTTTACCATTTATTTGTAACGAATAATTGAAATAGTATACCTAAATATTTTTTCATTGTCTTGTGATATTTATTTAAATGTAAATTGCTTGAAATAAATTGTTGCCAGTAAATTCCTAAAATTATTTACCAAATATACCACTAGTCATAACTATTTTGTCTTATAAACCAAGGGGTACACTGAATTATACAAAGATTGGCTTCTAGTAGAATTTTAATTGTCTGACAGATAAAGGGATATACACTGTGTACACAAAGGTGTTAACACAGGTGTTGGTTTAAACACCCGCAGGGCATGATTAACAGATCCACGTGCCGTTACAGGGGTATTAGTGCTATACATCATCGAACAATCAAAACTGTGAAATTCGTGATGACTGTTAAATTACGAATGTACTCTCAAATAAATTTATTTTTTACAACAATATCTCAAGCAAAATCATAGCATGTTAATACGATTAATTTCAACTGCTCACTATTACACGTAATAGTCCATTGCGTGTTTTAGCAAATCCCTGGACAAGAAATATAAAAATGGCGGTCATCGAAGTTAATATTGTACCCCGGTAAATAATGCCGGAATAAAAGAATGTGTCCATGATGTTCTAAAATGGAAATGATTATTGTTTGATTTCGGGTATTTCCCTAATTATAGCTGTTGTATACTACCGTATTTATGTGTTTAACGACAGAGTCAAACTACGACGGCATTGAACAGGCAAGTTGGAGAAAATACGTTATATCACAATTCAAGGAAGTTTTAAATATGTTTGGATAAAACACTATTAAAATGCTGTACTCATAAAAATACCAGTTTATTTTATCAATACGTTAGTTAAAGAGGTTTACATGTTCTGATGCGTAGTATCTACGTAAGAATCTCTAGAAAAATTTATAAACAAAGCCTCGTCCTATCTTCCAAGTTCGTCCTATCTAAGGATTTTTTAAAAATTACGGCTGAAAATGAGCCTTTCGACCTATATACCCCATCGACATATATCCCAAAAATTACGGTAGTATTTTGTAAACAATCTCGCCGATTATCGTTAAACAACATCTTTATATAAATCATTTATGTATTCTAGGATTATTCATAAAGTACAATATTTATAAATTTTAATAGTTTTATTTTTATCTGAAGTGTGCCTTGCTTTATTTTTTAACGATTTAAAATCAAATATCGATGTCAATTTTTATAAATAATTATTGAAACCAGGTTAAAACATCAGAGCATTAATTTGTAATTGACAATCAATTCTGGCAAAAAGTTGTAATGACTTATAAGTGGGTCAATGGCAAATCCCTCCAAAATAACTGCAAAAAATACAACCGACTTATAGGCGGACCAACTTATACACGAGTATATACGGTACTCTGATACATATACAAACATGCAACTGGATGTACTGATTACAGTACGTTTATTTACAGTCGATACATACTTTGATGCAATGATTATTGCATTAATTCATGACACAAAAATATGATTCTATGTCAGCACTTACATAGAAATATTACTTCAAGACTGCACCAAATTTTCCACAACATTAACATATATTTCTAAATTTTGAAAAGGCAATAAAAGTTATTATTAGGGATGTCAATTTTACTCGGATAACTTAGTCGAATAGTCGGAGGCTTTAGTGGAACGATAGTCGAGTACATCGTTGAAATTTAAATTAATTTTTCATGTCATTTTTCCTATTTGTCTTTAACGTTCCATCTTCAACAGACTGCTAGCATGTACAATAAATAATCTAAGCTATCACCATTATACAAGGAATTATAGAATCGTTAACATTTACGTAGTAATAGATATATGTATCCAATGTATTTGATTTCAAATTATAATATTTAATGCACATTTTATCTATATACAGAATATTAAACGCTCGCATTTATCCTTTCTTTTCCTGCTGCTAGTACATGTACCCGTTATTGATTTCTTACCTGAAGCCATTTGAATGTGTCTTGTCAGTGACCCATGATTGTTAAACAATTAAAGCATAACTCTTATAAAAACAAAGAGAACTTGCAATGAATTTTAATTATGAGATTTTTTTGCGAACAATCAATACAATTTTAAAATGATTGGTATTAATATCAGAAAGAAACATCTTTAAATTACGCTCAAAATTGTTCCAAAATTTACATGTATTTACAAATATGTTACAACTGTTGAATTATTATTCATTAATTGATGGTTACATTATACGACATCTTACAGAATTGCAGGTTGAAAATTTACAATTTGGACCCGACATCTTTTAAGTATACCAATGCATGTTTGTCGAACAAAAAATTCCTTTGAACAATTAACGAGGACCCGTTCAGCCTTTCCCAGAGTTTTTACTCATGAGAACACTGAATACTGTTACCGTAATAAATGAACTGAGCAGATCCATTTTTTACCATGAATTTTTTTACCTTGAATTTAAGATTACTATTAAGTAGCAAATTTTTAACGAATAACCGACTAAAAAAATTTAGTCGATAGTCGGTATGATCGAACGATAGTTGAGTACTCGAATATTCGTTGACATCCCTTGTTATTATTACAGTTTTTATCATGTGCATTCCTTCAAAAATGAAAGACATACTTTATACTCTGTGTAAATCTTTAAAAAATAAAAATAAAATGTTTAGATCAATTAAAATTTGATTATTTTACCTGTACTTGCTGCATCAGATATAATGGCAACTAGCTTTCTTCCTTCCATAAACATGTTTCTCTGAAATACACAAAACTTGATCATATACAATCTCCTAGAGCACCTGCAGATTAACATTCCTCATCATATAAACAAAGAAGAACATCTACCTAATGCTCAACTTTTATGCATAATATATGAACACAAGACTTATTACCATCTCATCTAATGATAATGAACCGATTACAAGTTCTCACCTCTTGTACATTAAGACTCTCTATTCCTCCGTAGCTCTCAGCATTTGGTGTCCGAAGTTCATACCGAGGTGTCTCTTCTGGGGAATGTCTAACAATACGCCCCTTCCTACCCGTCATTTCTGCTACACAATTTGGTCCACCTAACTTGTCTATGATATCATCCAAGGGACTGTTATAGTAAAAATAGCATTGACTTCTCCAACTGAACAAAAATTCAAATACAATATTTATGGACTTCTTGGAATCATTGCTTCTGAATAATTTCTATATGTCATGCAAAAAAAGGTCTTCAGGAAGCATAGCAATCTGAGGTCAGGAATTTTGGCAGTCTTAAATATCCAACTCAATTTATCTATACCTATTTGGTAAGTTAATTTTTTCAGCAAAGCCCAATAGTAAATCCCTGGCCTGTTTGCTCCATTCATCCACTAAAACCTCATCTTTATTCTTAAACAAGAAAGAAAAAAACTATAAATAGGCCTGAAATTATCAAAATTCATTCCATTTTGTTGAGTACAATCATTATACAGGTAAGTATACAAATCATAAAGTCATTATGCACCTTCAAATTAGTACGCAAACTTGTGCGATACATTGCACAGTGAAATCAAAGACTTATCAATCAGAATTTAATTGAACATGTTACATTGCCTTTTAAATTCCATATTTATTTGTAATGTATCTCTTAGAGTATTGAATATACACACATAACTGAAACTAAAGAATCTATAAACAGACAGTTCTACCTGGCTTTCTATCATGATTGGAAAATGTTGAGTGATGAATCTAGTGAAGATCTCCTTACACAGGGAAACAAATCCTGAAACTTTTCCTTTGTTTTTGTTGAATTCACTTTCAAATGAGGCCTAAAAAACAAGGCTTATTTTGTGAAACTTTGTGTCAGTAGTGCAACTGATCTGAGATTTTGCATGAGATTATGATGACCCACAGAGGGTAATCAGTTGTGGAGGGTCATGATGTGATATTTGGGGGTGTGAACCACAGAATGTGGAAGGGTTGGCAGGTCTGCAATTTCATTCCCTTTGTTTAACTTACAGATGAAATTTCTTATTTAGCCAGAAAGATGGACATTCGATGAATAGATTTTACACAACAAATTGTTGAGAAGAATATGTTCATGCTTAGCTCACAACTGTCTAATCCATACATGTTTTAATTTTCCAAACACTTAGAATTTTAAGAAAATACATCTGTACTACACGAAATTTTGAAGAGCAGAAAAAATTTTCTTCCAAGGGAAAAGGTGACATGTAATTTTACGACAAGAAAGAGTTCATGACAAACATGATCAGTATTGATCACAGTAAATATACATACATGTACATGTACATGAAAAATGAAATGTTAACCGGTTGGAACAATATATATTATTCAATAAAACAATTTTTCCGCTCAAAAATATATACAAGAAAGAGTAATTATAAGTTGCAAAAGCAGTACCTCTCCAGTGCTTTGTAGCCCAATAACTACACAACATCCATTTTCTAGAGCTGTCTGAGCTTCTTTGACAATAGTCGGTATCTTCATACCAATACTACAAGAATCATGAACAAGAACTTCAGGTACATGTACTTTTGATATGGCATATAATATCCTCCCTTTGTCAATAAATCTAAAATCACATTCAACATTGCTTTAAAAAGCCCAAGTTAAACTCCCATAATCCCATTTTTGTCAAATACCTTCTCTAACATAAATAATAATTTTCCACAAATATGTGTCAGTTTGATTTCCAGGAATTTATTCACTTTACTATATGTATACTAAAATTATCTGTAAATAGGAAAACATACATGTACAACTAACATAAGATACATGTACATGCAGTTCACTTTCACAACACAATGTAATTTGATCTGAGCTGTTTACACATAACTTACTTCACTGAAAACTCACCAGAGGTGTTTAAAGAATCTCTGATGACAGGACCAGAATTGTGACCATATCCTACTGCCACTGTAATTAGTTCTAACTATAGCACTCTCCAGTGCCTTCTTCAACTCATTCCTAGAGAGACAAAGCACACATTGAATTTCAAACAAACGTTAAACTAGAAATGTTCTAAGGAAATTTGATTTCAAAATGCTGAAGTATAACATGAACAACTACACAATATCTACATGTACAATATGATTTATAAGAGCAAATACAGATCTATAAATAATTAGATTTCTCTTTCAGTTTCTATTAAACTAAAAGTAATTTGAACTTGACAACAACAAAAAAGCAAGAGGCCCAATGGCCACATTGCTTACCTGAGCACTGTGGCTAGGAGAAAAGCAGAAATCAGTTCAATACTGAAAAGTTAAATGCAAAAGTGGTCCCGATCTACCCCTAAAAAGGGGGGGGGTATGATTTGAAGAAACTTTAATCTACACTAACAAAGCATGTTTAGTATTTCCTGTAAGTTTGAACTTTCATTGTTGTCCCACCCTACCCTAGGGGGTCATGATTTGAACAAATCTGAATGTACACTACCCTTGGATGCTTTCATATAATATGACCAATCATGGCTTTGCTTTTCTGGTGAAGACGATTTTTTTTAAACTTTCCTATGTATAACTTTGCTCGCCCATTGTGGCCCCACCCTACTCCAGGGGTTGATGATTTGATCAAAATTAAATCTACACTACCTGAGGATGCTTCCATATAAATATGACCAATCTTGGTTTTGCTGTTCTTGAGACGAAGATTTTCCTACACATTCCTATGTAAAATTTTGATTGTCCATTTTGGTCCCACCCTACCCCAGGGGGTCATGATTTGAACAAACTTGTATCTACACTACCTGAGGTGTTTCATCTTTAATGACCCAGTGGTTCTTGAGAAGAAGATTTTTAAAAAGTGCCATTAATTTTACACTAATCTGTTAGTATAATTTTCTCCTCTTCATTTGAACAAATTTGAATCCCCTTGACCCAATGATACTCTGTGCCAAGTTTGGTTGAAATTGGCCAAATGGGCCTGGAGATGAAGATGCAATTGTGAAAAGTTAATGACAACAACGACAGACAACGGACAAATTTATCACAAAAGCTCACTTCAGGTGAGCTAAAAAACACATTTTGCATGAAATAACAGACCAGACATGAGCAGCTGTGTCGTAGATCTTCCTCTGTTCTTCTGTGAGAGGGACTTCCACAGTGGAGAACTGTTAAGATACATTCAATAAATTAACATGTACTAGTCTTCAGGTGCAATTCAAAACATTCAAATCATCAATTCATGAGAAAATTTTTTTTCCCAATTTCATTATACATGCAGATTTAAAGGCACTTCAATACTTACATACTGTAATTCACAAAAATAAAAACCCTTTTCTACTTTCAAATTGTTAAAGCAAATAAATTCTATTAATAATTTATTACCCTTTAACTGACATTAAATTAAAATAAATCACAGGAAAAAATCTTCTCTATTTTTTCAACAAGATCATCTATTTTCCATTCTGTGACACAGTTTGGTTTCTAACCCCTACCTCGGCCTGTTTGTAGCTCAGTCCTCTGGACACATACATTCCCGACATCTTCATCTCCATGGCCAGCATCTCTGCCATTCCTAGCCCTTTCTTCTGAACAAACTCGATGAACTGTTCAAACGATCGGAACTGGGCCCCTATACCCCAAAGACCTAGCCTCTCCATAAATGCCTACAAATTATCACCTCCATCATAAGTAAATGTAAATAGTATGTTTAACATTGTTTATCATACACGTTAAAAAATGTGACTTCCAAGGAAATCACATATATAAAATTTCAAAGATGAAAATCAGCATTTTGCAAATAAAAATTCATGTGCAGTGCATGTCTATACAAGTTTTATGGCATGCTGACAACTTTGCTTTCATGTCTGGATTATCTTGCACTAATAATACTTTACAGCAATTTTATTTCAAAGAGCATAACTTTACATGCAATTCTCTTCATTTTCATGAAATAAATTATTTTAGTTTGCCTGAAATGAATAATTTTTCTTCATCAAAATTTTTTGCCTTTGTCATTTCTTTTGGCAAAAACAGTTCAGCAGAAAAGCAGTCATTTAAACTTCCCTATCATATGACTGGCTTCTGGTGGCCTAAAAAAAACTTTTGTGCAGTTCTTACCATATTCTTGACATCTGTGACACCAGTGGCACTGCAGTAGAGCACCCTTGCTTTGGGTAACAACCTACAAAATTATCACTTAAATAAATACATGTATGTACAAATGCATACTTCTACAAGTCAATGATCAACCTACAAAGTACAGTATGTGCAATACATACTAGCACACAGTCGACTTACCTTTGAATTGTCGTGACAGCTAGAGCTACTTTTGTACTAGCCTGTTCTTTGCCCTAATAGGAAAAAATCACATTCAAACATTACTGCATCTCTCTTTAGTAATTGTACACTGAAGTGCAATCAATGTCACCAGTCTCTCCAATTAATTAACCACTAGATAAATCTGACATTTTCTATTACTAGTTGCCCAGAATCTCTTCTTAACTTACTGGGACAAAATTTTTGGCTTTGTGACATTCATCAAATACCAGACATCCATCAAAGTCCTCCCCTCCACACCAGCTCACCAGCTGTTGTAAACGACTCTGTTTTGAACCATTGAAGGCACCTAAGACAAAAGACAAGCTCTCATTGTCTTCTATATCTTTATATTAATTACTTCCATAAATAATTCAGACACATAAATCTGTTCTATCTGACCATGTAGAAATCTGTATGTTACAAAGATAAATCCAGTCACCTTTCTATGAATATCTACTATGAACTTTATCAATGGATAGAACATGTACCTAAAAATCTTCAGTGAGCATATAGAGTACAACTGAATGTAGTAAGTATTTCAAAATCGTCATAAATAAAACCAGGCCTGCTAACCTCTCTGAACAGATGACACCAGTGTAGCATAAGTACTGAACACAACTCCTTCCTTAAAGTCTGCAGGTAACCCTAAAACCCTGCAAGAAAGTACAAAAACTAGAAATATGTCCATAGGACATGAATGCCCCACCGAGGGTATATTAGTAATGGAACATTTTAACACAAACTGAGAAAAGTGAAGTCAAGGTCAAAGGAAAGGTCAAGGTGAAAAAATATTGATGCAGTTGAATAGCTTACATAAGTATGTATCAGCACATGAAGTTTGACACTAATTTAAGAAAAGTGAGGTCAAATGAAAGGTCAAGGTCAAAAATTAATGATGCAGTTGAAAAGGTTACATCAGTATGTATTAGCATATGAAGTTTGATAAAAATATTAGGAATGGTTTCTTTAAAACTGAGCTAAACACTAATTTAAGAAAAGTGAGGTCAAGGTCAAAGGAAAGGTCAAGGTCAAAAAATATTGATGCAGTTGAATAGCTCTCTTCAGTATGTATCAGCATATGAAGTTTGATAACACTATCTTGAGTGTATCTTTAAAACTGAGCTAAAAACTTATTTAAGAAAAGTGAGGTCAAGGTCAAAGGAAAGGTCAAGGTAAAAAATATTGATGCAGGTGAATAGCTCTCATCAGTATTTATCAGCATATGAAGTCTCTTAAAAATCTCTTGAATGTTTTCATTAAAACTTAGCTAAACACTTATTCAGGAAAAGTGAGGTCAAGGTCAAAAGAAAGGTCAAGGTAAAAAAAAAATGTTGATGCAGTTGAATAGCTTACATCAGTATGTATCAACATATGAAGTTTGATTACACTATCTTGAATGGTATCTTTAAAACTAGGCTAAACACTAATTTAAGAAAAGTGAGGTCAAGGTCAAAGGAAAGGTCAAGGTCAAAAAATGTTGATGCAGTTGCATAGCTCTCATCAATATCTATCAGCATATGAAGTTTGATAAAAATATCTTGGGATAGTTTCTACTGAGCTTTGAACAGAGCTAAACGCAAAGTGCAGGGTTTGACACTAAGGCACGTCCGACCGACCCAGTCTAGTAAATGAGTGGTCCGGTCGTGTAAAATGTACGTTAACTAAACTGATTGGTTGTGTTCATAAAATAACTGTTAAACCACATTTCAGTCTTCCAAATAAATATGCAAAGAACTTTTCTAAAGAAATTTTGTCCAATTGAAAACACTGTAAAGAAAAAAATTCCCGTATGACACAATTGCTATTTTTAGCCATGCATAGGCACCTGAAGTGTGCATCGACAACCCCCCCCCCCCCCCCCCCCCATTGATTTAAAAAAATAGAAAGAGTTCATAATTTCTCAAAAGTATTGTATTTCCTTTTCAATCAAACTCATATTTCGTTTTATGCAAGTAGACTGTACTTTTTCTCACGTGTAGAGATTGGCCATGAAAATACAGTAACCAGTGGTTACGGCTGTAAATGTAATAGACAAGTCAGGGTAGACACTAGCGTCGTTCAGTATCAATATGGTATAAGTTACTGAAAAAATATATTCTGCAATTAATCTATATTTAGGATGAAAAATTTATTTAAGTTCATTGCTTACAATAGTCCCATGTTGTGATGAACCAGACTTTATTTGATAGTCTGTCAAAATCTTGACAGGCGCAATCGAGAGAGGACTTCACAATTACATTATTAAAATTGGCAATTATAAAAATTAAATTTGCTTGTTTGGTCAGGGCTAGCGATTTTTGGGTCAGGGCTAGTAAAAATTATGGGAAGTAGCCCGACTGGACTAGTACTCATAAAAGTTAATGTCAAACCCTGAAGTGTGACGGAAGGACAGAAGGAAGGACAGAAGGACGGAAGACAGACATGACAAACACTATATGCCCCAGCAATATTCATGGCAGGGCATAAAAAAAAAATCATCCTCAGGTACTGTTTTTCTAAAGTTGGTACTGCTGAGCAAATTTCATAACCAACAAATGCACCAGGAAACATTATTTGAAACAAAATTCACTTAAGTAACATTTATAATTCAATAAAGAAAATTCTTATGCTTTCTTTAACATTTATAAGATGTCAAACCATCCCTGTGATTCATTCAACTTTTCTGTATTTAAAAAGCTACCAGATTTACAGGTACACTACAGAACCTTGTTTGTCTGTCCAGTTCCTGACAACCATCAATAACTCGGATGTGGCAACCAATATCTGACAAATCCCTGTAAATAAGAATTCAGAATATCTGACAAATCCAATACACAAAAAGATCTTGTAAAGAAGGTAAGAGTATTTGATAAATTCAAGAAAAATGTTCAAAATATCTGATAAATCCATGTAAAAAAGTTCAGATTCTCTGATAAATAAATAAGTTCAAAATATCTAATTACTTCTTGTAAATATATATGAATTCTGAATATCTGATAAATTCCTGTAAATACAAGTACATTCAGAATTTGATATTTCCGTGTAATTAAGTTCAAAATAAACAAATCCCTGTATACAAGTTTAGAATATCTGTCATATTCCTATAAATAAGTTCAGAATGTGCATTACATGAAAGTCTATCTGTGGAATTTGAAATGAAAATAGCTACTTGTAGCGAAATCAACAATGTGTATGTACTCAGCATTTTTTTTTCATGTACACATCTTTACCTTCTGCTGTCTACAATTAAATCTGATGAAATGGTGAACCATATATGCTTTGTTCTCCCCCTGGCATAGTTGTCAAAGATAATCCCAGAAATCTACAATTGATATTTGATAAATGATCATTTTCATTTTTATAGCAACAATGTAAAGTATGTTTTCCTTCATTAGCTTTCAACAATTTACAATTTATTGATGAAGAATCAGCAATAAATGTACATGACTCTACAACTCTTGATGTCTTGCTGTTCATTGCAGTGTTATACTATTTGTGTAGCATCTACATGTACATTAATTGCATTAATGCAAATTGTAAATTTTAAAAATTCACACTAAAAAGATTACCTGAAAGTAAGCTAATGGAGTCAGATTTAAATCTTAAAATTCACAATGATGAATGTACAGTACATGTCATAAAATTATGAGGTTTAAATCAAATTACTCTGTATTCATGTGTCTTAAAGAATCAGTATTACAGGAAAAATTATGACACATCTTCCTTGAGCAAAGAGAAATCTTGAGTCACCTGTCGTCCTTTTCCTACACCCGCTGCATCTCCAATAAAGAAGCCAGCTCTTTGTCCACTGGGCAAGATCCTCATGTGTTGCTGACACTAAATCAAGATGACTTATATACATTCTGACATGGCTAAAGCCTTTAGACATTCTGCTAGTGTATAATACCCACATGCACATGTACATGAAACAATGCTTTAATTACGTTTTCAAAAAATTAATCAATCTTTCAAGAGATGGAACCAAAAAAGAAACAGCTTTTCATAGTTTACAGGTATTGTACTAGAGAACAATGGTTTCTCACTTTGTAAATCACTTGGAGATCAGCAAGCACATTTTAAAAATTTATCAATTTTGATTCATGAATATCACTAAGCTGAAAGAGAATTCATCATGCCTCTTACATGTATTCAACTAAGCATGTATTCTGGATTCTTATACATAGATCATGTAACCCATGTACAAATGTACCAATACAAAGAAAACTTATCCACTCCGTCACATCAAAGCTCAAAGCTTGTACTTGTAAGAATAAACATTATTCACTGTATAACAGAAAAATATTGACATACAGCATAAAGCACTCCCTCCAACTGTAAACTGCTGAGCTTTCCCTCCTTTATCACCTCCTCTGGCAGGGAGTCTGTCAATGGGTATGTTGGGTCTGGCTGACTTAGGGCCTGGGAGGAAAAATAACAATTAAATACTTCATCTATAAATCCAGATGCTTACTTTCATTTTGTTTCTTGTGAAGATTCATTTCAAGAATGAATCCATTTGCAATATTTTTAACACTGATCCAATTTTGGTGCTTAATATTGTAGTAAGAAAGAAATGGGATATATATGAATGACAACATAATAAAATGAACCTTTACTCAGAATCAATCAACATCAAAAATAGTGGTGTTGGAAATCACATATACCCCCGGATTATTTTGCATTGCCACTTTGCATTCCCATCTATCATATTACTATGTCATGTCTGGTTTCTTAAGTAACTTACAGCTAAAGGACCAGCCTCCACAATATCACCAGGGTGTGGACAGCAGCCTTTTACAATCTCTTTATGCTGATAAACTGAGAATACTTCAGAACTAAAAGAAAAACAGACATATTAAAATCGCCATGCTTTACTTGAAATTTAAACCATATTTTATTCACTTTATAAATTTGCACTGAATAGGATTGTGCTGCAGGCAAAGCTCACTTTAACAAGGACGTTAAAAATTTTAATATTATCATATTTGTACATCCTTGCCGGGAAAATGGAGATGAAATGTGCAATAGTTATACCTGACAGCTTCTTGTACACCTTCATCTTGCATCTTCACTAGTTCCTCATTTTCTTTGTTTGCTGTTGGAGATGTTGGCCCTGCTGCTGTTTTTGTTGGAGGGATGGTTGTATACAGAGCATTTAGCTGATCTATCTGCTGTAGAATGGGATGAACAGCAGCTGGGGTCCCTGCCATTATATTCTGGTATGGTGTTGCCATCTCAAGTGAATTTCTGAAGAATTGTTAACATGGTTAATGATTGTCGGTGATGATCTAAAAATTGAATTGATAAATTAATTTCATTGGTTGTTAAAAATTAGATACAATAAACATGATAAATTCACTTTTACACACTTGAACACTTTTTTATGACCAGTGGTATTGTAGGTTTCTGTATTTCATGTGCAAAGTGGTATTCAGGTACTGATTCCATTGAAATCAAACACCCAGTAGATGGGTAATATGGCTCCCAATTTGTGAAATTTTACTACAATGACACCCTGTTATCGAATGATAGTATTATTTTCTCCAACATGTGTTTCATATTTCGAGTCAATAATTACACAACAGAGAGTCTATTAACAGAAAGGATATTCGCTATGTATCCTTATTTTTGGAACATACCGCGCTGCAATTGAACCCGCGATATAATGAGAATTGAGTACATATTGCGTAATCATCACGTATTTTCATTTCACTTTCAGGGTTTACAAAGTACTTATTAATGTTTTCAAGTTTTGCACCCATTTAATATGGTTGATGATTTACAACTTCATTATGCGTGTAATTTGACTAATTTAATACTAATTCGAAAGCATCAATGCTGAACGATTTTTTTCTACCAGTAGCCTAAGGCATACGATAAACTTCGCCATCTTTTTCACTGTTTATGTTTTTCTATTCCGATGTTTGCAAAGATAAGCTGTGTACATTTTCATTGATTGAATACGCTATTCAAAACATGCGCAGATTAAAAATTCTTACCCCCAAAAACACAAAATTTAACAAAGACTACATCTTCGAAATTTTTCCAACTCTGCAATTTTTCCCGCCAACTGATCAAACCGTTCATCAAATGATTCTGTTCAAGACAAGTTGTTCCATTATTCGAGGTATTGAGAGGCGGATTGTTACGAATCATTTAGATTGTGTTGCTTTATACATCGTGTATCTCTGTACAAAGCATGTTAAAGTGTCTGTTTTCAAAATTGAACATGCAGATGAAGTCTTTCTTCTATATGTACTATATATTATACAAATATGCATGTACCACCAACTGCATTAATTCACAACTAAAACCAATAAATAGAATGGCAATAAAATACCCAAAGAGTTTTACAGATTGGACAGTTGGATTAATTTTGACATTTTGGAAACTGTAAAATGTATTCAACTGCACGGATAAAATTTATTTTTCAAACTACACGTGTCTTATTCTTTTAGTACAGTGCTCTGATGCATGGCTTGCAAAATTCGAAAATCAAACTTTTCATTATTTTTTCAATTTATATATTCTCACATTGTGTAAAACAACATAGAGAAAACACAGAAACAATATCAAACCAGGGACCTATATACTATATAGTATATAGATCCCTGATCAAACAAAATACATGATGTAAGAGTGCACAGTTTACATTAACCTGGAAGGATAACTCCCTTATTAATTACATATATTGATGAATTCAGAAAGGTTATTAATGACGGATACCTTTTTACATGAAAATAAATTTGAAAACTTGGAAAGCATTTGGTCGACTTATATGTTGATTGTAAATATATACCCTTTTCTACAATCATTTAAAGCTGAACATAATATAATGGCATTCGTCTCCATTATTATTTTTACATAAAGTACATTTGAAGGTTTATTGTTCCATCGGCCTGTCTCGATTGGTAATTTGTGATTACTAGTTCTAAATCTTGCTAGTGTATTTAAGTGTTCATTGATACATTGGCATTTAAATAGTTTCTAGATGTAAAAGTACTATTAGTGAAAAAAATATTTTTTGCCTAAGTACTAGTTGTATCACAATCGATATCTTAATTCCATTTTTACCAGGAATTTTATCATTCTTATTTTAATATTATCTATTCAACCTAACCATAAACCATACACATGCATGTAATTGTCTTAAAGGCAGAGAAAATAAGCACCTCCTCCAATTAAATTTACATCGTCTATAGGGACCCCTGTCAATCAAACGAATTAAAGTCCAGGATTCGTACCGGTTGATATATAGAATTTGACTGGCATTTAGTCGCTAGTCTCTGTGTATACCTTGTATATCTCTAGGTACCTTGCTTGGCCGTAGGAACCGAGGGGTGGGGGTGGGGGGTTCGATATATAGAATACTATAGAAATCATGTCTACTATACATGTATGCTTATGCCCCCTCAATAATAACGTCTAATGACTCTTTTTCTTTTCTTTTCTTTTCTTTTTTTTTACTTGTCAAGAAATTTTACACAGGAATTGGTTGAGAATTTCTGTTACATATAAGAAGCGAATCTGTGAACATCTGTGCTGTTATTTTTTTAATGATATTTAGAAAAAGTTTGGGTTTTTTTTTCTCTTAGGCGGGAGCATTTTATAAAAATTCATACTCTCTGATACTAAAAGGGAGTATCAGAGAGTGTGAAGATATATAAAGGTTAGTTTTATATTACATATTTTCTATTACTCAATTGTAATACTTTGTGAATGTGTCATAGAAAAATATTTTACATAAAAAAGTCGGAGAACCCTTTGGGTTCGGAACGCGGGAAGGGGGAGGGGTTCCAAGCACCTGTGTTTATGCTTAGTGGTTTATAACTTCATTAATTTAGAAATCTACATTTCATTTGAAGGAGGAAAGCAAAAGCTATTTTGACCCCAAGATATCAAATGAAGTCTACGTACGACTTCAAGCGTATTTAGTAGTCGGATACCTATACCGAAATACTCGTCTATCCAAATCAAAGCGATTGTTTCTTATATTTGTAGCAAGAGATTCAAAAGGCTGAAGCTAACACAAGCAGTAAAGGAGCCCTTAAAACGGATGAAGCGCCCGAATTGACAATCTGTGATGCAGCAAATGCAGAGACAGGTACATTTATTTTATGCGGAATCTGGAGTTACAATAAAGAGTTTCAGTACACCTACCTTACCCGTGAATCGGACGAAGTCGATAGACCACCATGCAGCAATAAATATAGCGGAAAGCCAAAGGAGGTCAGAGTGGTGCATGTGCCACTACACACTAAGAGTCACATGTAAGATTTTGTATCTAAAACTTTGGTACAGGTAAAATTATTTAATCTTTTTTATGAACTTTGTTTATTAACCTATTTTTATCTAATTAATTATAATTACAGAGCTCAGATGACTCGGAAAGTTCGAATATCATCAGGATTGATGGAAAAGCTGTTACACGCACCAAGAAGCAAACAACGTAAGATTTGGAATCGAACACAGCTTACTTCTGTTACAGGACTATAGAAATATACTTTTATAGTAAATGGAGACCATTGATACCAAGATTTATATCTCCTGTCAACGGAGGTAAAAAAAAAAAATTAAGACCCCCCTTTCTCATTCATTTTGGCCTGGATTTCATTACTAAACTGACAGTGTGTTGACTTCTGGGAGTTTTAATTTTTATTTATTTGCCTGAAAAATTTGTTTCATTTTGATTAAAACCAAATTAAAACCATTTTTCTTTCCAATAGATATCATTGGCATCATGTTTTAGTTATAGAAAGTTTTCTTTACAATTTATATGTTTCTTTGTACAGAGGATCTATAAGACAACGAATTCGGTGACTATTTCACGAGACATCCTTTCGTGTGCCTGTTTCTTTCTTGAGTATGTAGTTCTAGTGAGTACGAGTTCCCAAACACCTCAAATAGAAAGCATTTGTCTGAGAACGACCTACTGTAAACCTTAAAATATATAGCATTTGTGTAGGAATTACTTATCTGTAAACGTGTATTAGTTTTAAAATATTTTTCTTTCAGGAAAAAAAGTAAAGCACATGGATATAACGAGGAATTATTTAAGTTGAACTCGCATAGAATTTGGAAACATTTCCGCAGGAATAAGATGAATAAATAACAATATAGATGTTTTGATAGTGAAAATGTTTTTATAGCATTAGATTTACGTGTATATTTTACACATTTTGAAAATATATACACACTTCGTATCTGAAAAAAAATGAACATCGTTTTCTGCATGATGCTTTGAAATGTTAGTACTATATCTGCTACACCTTTTAGGGAAAACAAAAGAACTGCAACATGTACCCTCCTTCTGACTTTTTTTAATATATAACACTCTGAAAGTATTTAACCTCGGTGAAGTTTAGAAAATCGTGAAATTTATTAAGATGACCCCGTCTTTCGAAATTGTATCATTTTTTTATAATTTGCTTCTAACAGAGCCAGTGATGCAAAAACATCATGGAATGCATGTCATTCTCATTTCTAACCTTTTCTAAAGTGAATGCGTAAGAGTTATATTTCTTGTCACGAAGTTTTTCACCCAAATAAATTATATCCTGAGAAGTTCTTAGAACAAATTTCATACAGGCATGCTTGATCACACTCTAGTGCCCAGATTTTAATCTCTTTATAACAGTCCGGAAGAACCCCCTGTACCTCATCTCCCTTATCTATAATAATTAAGAGGTAGATTATATAATTCTTTAAATATTAAATTACAGTTTCCCAGATATATAATAACCAAATGCGGCTGACATTGCACATCCAGATGTCTCCGACGATGACACATATATATTTTGTAACAAACGTATCCTGAAACAATAGTGCAGTACATATATATATATATATATATATACATCGTGAATACTGATAATACATATAATATAGAGCCTCTTTAGTTCAAAAGACACCATTCAATGATCTTTCTAAATTTAATCAATCTATTGTCATTTAATGTCAGAATGTGAAATACGATATTTTTATGTCAGGTTTATATCTCTCCCTTATGTATACGTCATTTTAATTAAAGACCACAACTTGAGTATGCTTCTGTGGTATGGGGATGCTGTCAAATCAATGATAACGATAAGCTGGAAAAACTGCAACTTGGTCACAGGTTTAACAACAATATATAGCATCTAAACTAACGATTATCTCTTATAATGTATATAGTAGAGTATATTTTGTGTGGAACGATTATTTTGGGTTTTTTCCCCGATTTTTCCTATGGTATACATAATAAATAAGTGTAATATAATTTGTAAAGAAATATCCAACAAGCCCAGGGGGTGATATTTCTTTCGGGAGGGAGGGGGGGGGGTCTGTCCACAAGTACCTGTGGTGCGTAAACCTGACAAACGCGTGTGGCACAAACTAATTCAATACTGATGAACATTCAAACTTGAAAAAAGCAACACAGTATCATAGTAAAATATATATATATATATATTTATTTTCACAGCTATACAATAAAACTCTACACGTAAAAATACCAATAAAAGTATTATAAAACAACGAAAAGTATTTCTTTTAAAAGATGCATTAGTATCACAAAACGTCTACAATGTATAAAAATCCACCGACTCTAAACCGCCGTATATAAAAGCTCAATGTTATAAATCTCTGATATTCTTATTATAGCAATATAAAATATGATCTACAATCATACAAATGAGTTATTTTTTCAAAACAGTAATTTCCTGTGATGCTATGAAGTAAAGGAAACAAGATGCTGATACGAATCCCATATCCCCTTCCGCCTTCCACCTGGGATTACCTCGGTTCCAACAACGGCGCACTTCCGGCTGGCCCCAGCAGTTGCATATGCTTGTATCTGCTGCATAACTTCTTCTGGGGGAAGGGCATTTTCTCGATCCTGAAATTTTACAAAATTACAAAACACAATGAAATAAAAAAATATATTATTTGAAGCGTTTAACAGTCTACATGGTCCATGGTTGAAAAACAATTTTATCAGTTTTCTGGAACGTAATTTTTGAATTCTAGACAGCTGATAAATGACCTATACCTGTTTACTTGCAACAAAAAGAATGGGAATGTTACTAGCGGCCTCCAGCTTTAGAAATTTCCTCAGTTCGTTAGCATTCTCTTCCAACCTCGCCTCGTTTGCCGTTGAATCCACCACCCAAACCATTACATGGATCCCTTTTACAAATTCTTTCCAATAAGATCTACACATTTCTGATCCTCCAACTACAAGGAAATTCAAATTTTGATTATACATGTATCACCATCTTAACTTAAGATGGTTAAGACTTAAGCGCTGAGCTATTAACACAAATTATTACTTTGACTTTTAGATCATGCACACACGTAAATCCTTTGCCGAAAATGTGGTCCTTTAGTCGTGGAAACAGAGAAGGAGGTACAGTGTATACTTTCAATCCGACAGTGTACCTTTATTTTTATTTTATTTAATCAATATTGTATTTTTTTTAGAAGGGATGGTCAATTTTATAACTAAATGGTGTGCACTCCAACGTAAAGGTACATGTTTCTTGTATAAAACAAATCTTACCATCCCAAATGTCGAACATGACGTTCCCTATGGTGACAGACTTGACGTTGAAGCCGACAGTTGGTCGCGGCATTACATTCTCTTCTTTTCCCTTACTTAAACACTCCACGAATGCGGTTTTCCCGCTCCCATCCAACCCGACCACAAGTACTCGTGTCCTCGGACGCTCCGAACGAGTCTGTGGGATAGAAAAACAGATATATTATAGTCAATTTGCAATATGCACCTGCATATATGATTCATTAAATGCGCACAATATGATATCACAACTAATTCTTGTCGTGTTTTTGTTGATAACATAACGATATGCTGTAGATTTAATAACACACCGTTAATATTGCTAGATTCTGAATTTCAGTTGAATATATTGGACGTAAAGAGATCAATGATGTAAAGCTGACAATTTCAAAATTATTGAAATTAGTTGAACTTAAACTATTTGAGTAAATTCGAATTTAGAATGGATTCCAAGAAAATTGACAACTAATCTTGAAAATTAAGTTAGTGAAGCAAGTACCCACAACAGGAAAAAAATATAATTCTAAAGCATTTTTACAACCTATTAGTATTTCGCTGAAGGCATTGTCCCTGCCTCTATAAAAATAACACCCTCCCTTGCAATTTTAATATGAAATGTGTCGAAAGATTAAGTACCCTCCTTATGATTTTAAACAATGTGGAACACAGATTGCAGTTTAATAAACGCCCTCTGCTATTCTTTAAACGCCGTTAGACCCCTTGAGACAAAAATTTAAAGTCGTGGTATGCTGAGTTTGATTTCAATTTGAGTTGTCCTTCTTCCGCTTTAAGTTCTTGGACAAAGACTTTTTGTCTAAGGGGTGGTTTATGTAATGTATGTGTAGCGTCAGAGACTTTAATTTTAAATACAATGTACTTAGCCTTGGCGAGGGGATAAAAACAGACAAGGAGTTGGATAAAAAATTCACATAAAACACTTTCTGATATTATTTAGGAAGAGAACAGTTATAGACGGTTACCTTATAGTTATTACTTTACATGTTGACACCTCTCTATTAACAAAAAAATTCAAGGCTTATTGATGTGCATATTCTAAGTATGAATATATATATATAGAGAGAGAGAGGGGGGGAGAGAGAGAGAGCACAACAGTAATTAAACACATAAGTTGACAATGAAATTTATCAGCAGAATTTCTACTCTCAGTCAGGAAAATATTTTTGAAAGCAAGGATATTCAGTGGGACATTGCAAAAATTGAAGAAATAGGACATTCCCATGGTGTCAAATTTTGACAAAAAGTACCTTGTTAAGTTTTATTATTATTTTTATTTTCCAGCACCAGATTCAAGTAGTTCAATGATGCTTATTGTTTTTTTTATAAATGAAATAAGTATAGTTCTGGGCCATGATGGGAAATTTACAACATGTACTTAAACATAAGAGGTATATACATGTATATGTTTAAAGCTTATGCAATAACAACCACAATAGTCATCAATTAAAAAAATGCCTACAATATATTATCTGTAAAAAATCATGAAAATTTATTATTATTTTTTTCCATTGTGAAACTGACTGCATTAATGCTAGCTGCTTGATTTTAACCAGTAGTATTTGTACAGATTTTTTTTTTTGGTAGTCCTTACTACAAATTTCAATATTGTGTTAATCATTATTAATTTTATGTGGAATTTTTGGAGAAGTTAAGACTGTGGCATTGCTTCTTGTCAAAATGTAGAGATATGATTTCAACTTAAAAAAAAGACAAACAAAAACAAGACCAAAAAAAAAAAAAAAGATAAAAAAAAGTGGGAAGAGGGATATCTATTTTTGACACATTTAATGAATGATTTAAATTTGGAAAAACATACATGTATTTGCCTAAGCATGTCCTTAACATATTCAGGAATAATTAATGGACCAGTACAATCAAACAGGATGTGAAAAAAAAAATAGCAGGTACCAGTGAATAATTTTTCAATTAAAAATATTGTTTAATTTCAATCAAATCAATATCCTGTTCATCATTAAACTAAATTTTTGGTGGGAGGCTTTCAGAAACCCCAATCTGAACATCAAAAAACAATACATGGGAATTGGGATTCATTTAGTAAATTAAAATGATTATTTTCTGTACAACAAACACATTAATTATAAACTATCACTGTCATTACATCCTATTTCTATGCCCTGTTATTTTCTAGGAAAAAATACTTTGTTGCAAAAATAAACTACACATAGCAGAAATGATAAAGAGTAGACTATTCTGAAATGCAACTGTCACATGGTACAAAGATTGATTACAGTTGTCACAATGGTCTAATCATTGTAGAGGCTACTGTGTACAATCGGGACAGATACCTAACATATACTGTCATATTGCTAATTTTCATGGGGCTTTAATTTTTGTTGTTTTTTGAGGTATGAAGATACCAAAAAATTTATGTACTCCTCGAAATGTAAATTTTGGAAAATGTAACAACTATAAATCTCAACAACCACAAAATCAAATCCCCACGAACCAATATTTTTTTCCTCAAATCTCGAAAATTTGATCCCACAAAAATGTTTGATATAAACTTTTAAACTACACAATAAAAAAAAAGTTAGTAGCAGTATGTTATCAAGAGTCCAGAGCATAAAAACAAGGGTACATGTATACTACATGGGAGGGAGAAGGTTATCTGAATTCACAGAAACCCTCTTTTACATTTTAACATTCATGTTAAACGTGTTCAGGCACGTGTTCAGGCACATTTAATATGTCAAATGCTGCTTAAATGCATAAAAAAAAATTGAATTGCATAAAAATAATATCGAAGGAATGTTCTGCCCTATTCATTTGATTTTGGTACCTGACCCCAGTAATCCGATGCTATCCAATATCCTGGATATGGGCCTTGCTATAATTTCATTTTACTTTATTTAAAAAAAAAAAAGAAGAAGAAGCTTGTCCATTGTTGAGGAAAAATGGCAAATCTAATTGAAGATGATAATCATCTTTCCTACTGCTATGAAAATCCCCCCCCCCCAAAAAAAAGGGCAATGAAAATGTACTATCTGTTGAAAATGTTAAAATATTTTAAAATGATTAGAACTATGAATACACCTGAAAACCCGCCACCCCATCCCCCACCATGTTAGGGTGATACACAGTCCACAAGTTCAGAGTTTACAGAGTTATTATAATTATTTCATATAGTGTATCAATCTTTAGAAAATAGACAATTTATTCATATTAACACGATTAAAGTACACTATTCTATTGTAAAATGTTCCGATTAATTAACACTTCAATAAACAGTGCAGTAGTTCGAGGTTCATATTTTTCGCATGGCTGGTAACGCACTCACTGCATTCCATATGACAATTAGGCACTAACATTTATGTAAACAACTTTAAAAGAGAAAACAGAGAAATAATGTAGATATCTATCGCTTACTACATTTTTAACTTTTCGGAAGTATTCGTCGGGCTCTTGGTTGCATTCTGATTCTTGCAAGAATTTGATTAATTTGTAGATCCCATAGGCAACTGCTGATGTGACGATTCCCGAAACTATAATAGATGTAGGCCTTGTTTCCCAAAGGTATTTGAGCCACGAGTTCATCCTTCCCTACCTACATTGTTGACGTTCAAGATATAATTCGATCCCGATCATTGTCCTGGTGTCTTGATCATTATAGCGTTTGAAATTATGGTGCAGCTTACTAAAGAAAGGAAGTTGTATAAGGGATAATTTATCGATAAAAATCAAATTGTCTTTATATTGTCCTTTTTTAAAAATAAGAATTAATATTTTTATTTTTTTTTATCCATAAATATATTAGCAATTTTTTCGTCTAAAAACAAGCTACTGACGAGGGTTGTTCCAAAATTCCGTAGTCTGAGCCCATAGTCTAAATATTATCGTGTCTGTGTGTACATAAGTGTGTTGTTGGTTGATAAACTACTTTGTTTTAAGTTGAGAACTTGAAAATAATAGGAGTTCATAGAATTTTAATGTTACCGTTTCCTACCACCCGGAGCAATAAAATAACAGAGGTGCTTAATTGGGACCCCCCCCTCCCGTGTTCTATACCCCAAGGGTTCTTTGGCTTTTTTGAAAATAAATATTTTTTTACACGGGAGGGGGGGGGGGGGTGGTTCCCGTCCCAAAGCACCTGTGTAAAATAAAACACTAATAATCAGAAACAAATTCTTTAATTCATTCAGATTAAAGTCAAATATCATAATTTAACATCTAAATATGCGAACAAAGCATTATATGAATCCAATAATTCATAAATTTCCTTCGTTCCTCGGGGTTTTTGTTTCCCTTTCCAAACGAAGCTGCACAGTTTCACTTTGACAAATATTTCTTTGTCCATTTCTTTCAGCCGTTCTCTACCACAATTTTGTTTCTTCACATACATAGAAAATAGAAAAAAAAACGCACCCTCCAGTCTTTTAATACTAAGAACCAAAACACATTTCTGTGTGTACCGAACAAGTTTCTTTTTTATTATTTGTTGTTGTTTTTTTTTTTTTTTTTTGTATTGTTTTTGTTTGTTTGTTTTGTTTTGTTTGTTTGTTTGTTGTTTTTTTTTTGTTTTGTTTTTTGTTTTTTGTTTGTTTGTTTGTTTTTTTGGTTTTTTGTTTTGAACTCAGAATATTTGATTGACAGTCTAGTGTGCCGCCTGTTTCACAAAGCCGCCAATTTTTCAACAAGTCAGTTAGGTGTTCAAAACGGTACATGAAAAACATTATAAAAATTATTATTGATTAGAGCACATACGACAAATTTAGAGTAAAGATATTAGGAATTTTTACTTCTATTCCCGAAATTCTGAGTAGAATTTTTTTTAATAAGATTTTAAACATCATATTCTGATTTTAATGGCAATTTTTGTGTGCAGCACCCAGTTTTTACAGCATTCTATTATTAATATACATGTAAATAAGGTTCATTCCATGTAATTACTCGATGTTTGTTAATGATGCTTTTTTATTTTATTTTTTGAAGGATGAATCTATTTATGAAGTTTCATTAATTTATGACTCTAAGTTCCTACAAAGTATCGCTAAATGTCAACGGAACTTTGGAGCTACCCTTGTACATGTACATGTATATTATTAATATGAACGTACACTTTGTTGATGTAAATGTTTAAAGTAATAATGAACAACATAGTAAAAATAAACACGCGTATTCGATTAAATATTACTGTGAAATCACTAGTTTTCGTTGGGTTTAATTTTGTTTCGTTGTTTTCGTGTTATGAAGATACCCACGATCGAATTCATGTCCTCAACGAAATGTAAAATTTCAAATATAGACCAACTCAACGCTTCTTCATGCACGAAATCATCTTCGTTAGCCAAGGGTTTCTGACACGCTATTCTCCTCATAAACAAGTTCATGAGGAGAGTAGTGTGTCAGAGACCCTTGGCTATAGCGAAAATGGCACGAAATCAAGTCTCCCCGAATTAATATTTTTTTCCTCAAACCACGAAAATTTTGACTGCGGGGAAATATGTAATTTACAGTTAAAGCTGGTACTATTCGAAAAGAAAGTATCCTTATCTCTTACACGTAAAATTACTCGCACAGTCAGAAAATCAGACAAATGTCCCTCACTCAAGCAAACGTGTTTTTGACACGGATGCGGCCTAAACGTCATCATCTTTCCACCCACAAGCGGGTTTCCCAACTACTAAGACAAACATATTAACCCTTTCCGAATTTTTGCATGTGCAATTTTAGCTTATGTACACATTGTATGCGTACATTTTTTCATTATCATTAAAATTTCATTTTTTAAAAGGAGGGGGATGGTGGTGGAAAAATTATCACTTACTCTTCCCTATATATAGCATTGGAGACCAATGTTTTCTATCTATACTGACCGCGTTTAGTATCCACACAGTACATATTGATGTATATACATGTCACTGCATGCATCGATCAATGAAATTAATATATTTTTCCTAAAATATTATATGTGTGACTAAATAACCCATTTCATGCACGTTTTATATTCTACTTTATATCCGTCTAATGTTTTAAAATGCAATGAGAATGCGAGGAAAACTTTGCGCTTGTTGCATGCATATCGCTTTTTAATCCAAAACGACAAAAAAGAAAATAAAAAGAAAAAAACTACTTTTCATACAACACTGAATATCCATCAACCACAGTAAAGGGTAATAATAATAATTTACCAATTTTTGTAAACTTTTAGCACAGCGTCACGAACTTTTCCCCTTAACTAATTAGTCTATTTGATAAAGCAAAGGCAATTGTGTATCTCAATATCAGTTTTTGGTGTCAACCGTTTGTGCTTCAGTGACGTGATGTTGTGGCTTGTATACTGCAATGACAAAGCACAGGGCAAAAGAAGAATGATGCGTTTACTGCCATCAAGCCATCTGGCGCGGGCGTCTAGCGCAGACAACGGCGCACTACCGTCAAACCGTCTACCAGAAGCAAGAAATATTTACAATTTCTCCGACCTTTTCTTGTAATCGACTGTTAACAAATTCTATCTTTCGTTCCATTATCAGAAAAAGTATAAATAAATGTGTGAGATCATATGTATTCATGTATATACGTATATATATAATCTATTTTTATTCAAAAGGGAGTTTAATAGACGAAAGTGAAAATCATGACCACTTCCTGAACGTTTTCTAGGCAAACCATTCATGAGTGGATATTTATATGAAAGACATAGGGGATTTTTTTTCTCGGTTGTTTCTTAAGAGCTGGGTCCTTGAGCAACTCTCTGTTTATGGTGTAAACCTTTAGAAATGTGTCGAAATGCCTTTCATTTTAAGTGTACGTTCACTGTGTTTAAAGTAGTACCTGAGGAGGTGACAATGACCCAAGAAAAAAACAAATAAGACCGCTTTATTGAATGGCAGAACTCTTCATGAAACCCAACACCCGTTCTTGTCAAAAATGACAATTTGGAACATCTTAAACAAACACTTATCATACCCACCAGACAGGGACGACAGACACTTGTATCATATATTTTTGTACTTATTTCCATTCAGGGAAAAGTAGTAGTACTTAAGAAAGAGAAAAAAATATATAACACAGTCATCAACTCGTGAAGTGTTACGCGGGATGCAAAGTCCAGTAGTTAGTCAAACCAAAAGTGCAACACGTGCTAGATTATTATATCATTCTGAAGGGGGTCCCTGCTCATTTTTTTTTCCTGAGCTTTTTTATCCTGTAATGTTTCAATTGAAAGAAAAAATGTTTGTGAGTTGAGAGAGAGGTGGGGGGTTATCAATCACCACGATTTTAGTAATTTTACAAGTTATTCCCAGTAAATGCCTTTCAGTGTCCACCGATCATTAAAAAAATAATGATATACCCAGAAAGATTGATGTTTAGGGATTCATTATTTCAAACTTTATAACTCTGCACATATCCTTTTTCCCCTTGGTTCGAATTCTTTCTTAAGAAATCAGAAGTGTTATTCCTTCTAGCGCTCTATTATCAGATTATACCAACGTGCACTTGGTTGTGAGATATTTCATGGATTCCAGGTCTTAAAAAAGAAACATATACTTGAATATTTATTTTGCGCATGTGCATATACGGATGTTTTTGGAAGCTGCAAACCTTATCCAGTAAAATATACAAACTGACGCTCGATATTATACTTTTCGCGATATGAATTTCCCTCTATAAAACTATCTATGAACAATCGTATACATTTGTCTATTTTTAAAACAAATTAAAATTTAGATCATCTTTGCATTAAGTATAAAGCATCCTCTACATGGAAGATACTTTATGTCCTCACGAGTTAAGATTTTTAATTACTTTAACTTGAATTTTGATATATTTGAGCCTTTCAATGTACAGGTCTAATGATCATGTTTATACCTGCAAAGCTGTAAAATGCGATAGAGTGATAAATATCATTTCATCTGTGTAAATTTTTCTAAAATTATATTCTCTGATTAAAAAATTTCTGAAAAAAATACGAGTATTTAAGAGTATTTAAGAGCTATTGATAATTCTCTGTAATGACTTGAACTTTTATGAAGGAGCTGTGGCACGCATAGTCTCAGAATTTCTCCAAACTCTCCGTGATAAAAGTCTTTGATACCGTAAGCTCAAATCAGGCAAATATTGGTTGTTAAGTGTCATAGTTACTGTGACAACATGCCCTAAAGTTTGAAAAATGGCATTTTTGACCATGTTCAGAGTCCCATGGATAACGTTTGCAGCAATGCAGATAAATGGCAATGACTATTTCCAGAAGTTGAAGGTCTGGCCCCAAGACCATAAACTGAGAACAGACTTAATTAAGTCAAAATTTTGAATTTTAATATCTTGAGTTTTACTTAACGTGTTCAGTTAACATTTGCAATTTTGTATAGCATTTAATTAAATTCAAAAATATGATGAAAATTTTGTGTCATTATCAAAATTATTTCAAAAGTTATATTGGTTTGTAATTTTGGCTTAAGTTTGTTCTCAGTTTATTGTCTTCGGACCTGATGTCTTAAATGCACAACAAACATATTTTGGAAATCAACTATTTACATAAGTTACTATGAAAACAAAGTATTCAGAATAAATGAATTTATTCATTCATTTTAATTAAGTCATAGACAAAAAATTAAAGCAATTATAGTTGAAATACAATCAAATAAGAGAGAGAGAGAGAGATCTTTGTAGGCCTAACACATTCCAAGGAAAAAAATGTGATATTTTTTATAGGTTTTAATATTGCATAGGAATTTTAGATTTACGCTCTGCATGTTTTAATTCGATCTTAACTTTTTAAAAAGCATATTTCTGTATAACTGATAATTAATTTTTAAGGGCAATGGTGTGGTCCTAATTTCCATATTTAAAAAAAAAATACAATTCAATTCTTAAAATAGAGCGTTACTATGGAAATTATAGGGGAAATATGTATAAAAAGCTGAAAAATATTTCGTTTCCTTGGATACGTACCATTGTATAAAGAATCCCAAAACTTTTATGATTGATATTTATGAAAAACTAACTTTTAATTTTTATTAAAACCTAATCCCTAACTGGATGCAAGAAGCTACCGCTGCGCAAAAGGTTTACTATTGCTATAAAGTTAACAAAATTGGACATTTTCTCTTCTTGGTAACCATAGCAACAGTGTTATTTTCCCCATCACTTTATCAATATACAAGTATGATATTCAACTTTAATTTTATCAGATAAGAACAATTTAAGGTGATTCAGATAAAAGGGGTTTCTTTATAAAAATGTTACTACATTCCTAAAGCAGCACAAATTATCAATATAAATCACTTATATGTTGTTTCCCTGGAGACACTACAATGTAGCAATCAATCCCAATTTTTCTTGTGCTATCCGTGTTACAAGGTCTTAACGATTGTATATTTGCCAGTCTTGAGTTTCCCTGGTTACCACTTACTTAAAGATACATTCTTAATACTTTCTTTATAGCATAAGTGGCAAGAAGGTGTATTTTTGTGAGAGTGGTTTGTTTCATTTTGTAAGTCTTTATTAAGGTTCAATAAAGATTCAAAGTAGCTGAAAATCGCAATTTTTCAAACTTTTCCGGTTGTTACCATGGTAACCAAGACACAAAGCAACCAAATTTTGTTTGATAATTTTATATGATTCTGGTAGTCAAATTGTAAAAATGGGAAAACTTTGATCAAAATCGGTGACCATGCGTGCCAATTTTTTTTTTTTTTAAACTTCAAGTGGTTACAGAGAATATCTTTTTCTTTTATATCATAACTATACTTACGGTATTCTATATATCTTTAAACACAGTGTTACTTTAGTTTAAACAAAGAGACAACTTACTTCTTTTTTTAAAATTAGAAATACGTTTAAAGAAAAACACGTGTGATTTTTGTTTCACTACCAAGGATTTGGAAGAATTACGTTAAACCATTTTTTTTTTCATTAATGTATGTTGAATCTTATGCAAAAAATTGCAAATAGGAAGCACAGTTTTTTAAAAGATTTAGATGAGTTATAACATGCTTCTATCGCACATTAGTGGACATCATTCATCTGCAGAGAATGTTGACGTGGGAGGTATTGCTGATCGAGGTCCCACAAATTTCCGTCCTCCCGAAACGACGGGAATATTTACAATATGACGTATCCGGTCTGAGGAAAGTCATATCCTAATGACTCGCAACAAAGACTCAAACCATTTTCTCAAATTTTACTGACTATTCTGTTTCAGTAATCATGCAGTTTTAAGTTACACCCTTAATGCATAATTGTTTTATATTTAACTTATTTTCAGTTTTACGTGACAACACACACGGTTCTTTTTTTCTTTTTTTATCTATATCCGATATTTGCGAGGAATCGGGTAAAGTGCATGTCATGTTTTTATTCTTCTTTGTTAAATATATTATTTGTCGTGCATTATTCTACCCACAGCCTATAATTTTGAAACAATTGGAAATAGTAATTTCATATTAGTTGTTCAAATTGAAGACGAAGGTTAAGGTTTCGTGTTAAGGTCAAGGACATAGTAATTTTAAAGGTCAAATTGAATCCATTTTCACTGGGGGGGGGGGGGGGGTTACAAGTAAATTGGTTTCTGAAGTACGTTTATTTCAGCTAAAATTTCTTTGAGATTGTATTATTCACAGGATAAAACTACACCTTTTAATCAATAGAATGATCACTAAAAGGTCTGGAAAGGTGACTGGGTTCTGCCATTTAGTCACCTTTCAGCTATCTGCATGGCAGATTTTTATCCTGTGATTCTTCAGGTTTTTACACATAAACTTAGATTCGACAGAAAGTGCTGGAACGCTTGAAAAAGTATGGGTTACTCGTTGATCCAGGGTGTTGCAGGAAAGCTAAAAGAAGCGCTTCATGTGGTAAATGCCCACGAATCATATCCCTGCCTTCTATTGTCATCGTTAAATAGCCGATGGGTCTCTCCTTTGAAACCATGATTTTGAGATTCAAGAATATTTAGAGAATGAAATGAAATCTTGTTGATAAGATTCAGTTTGTACAATAGTACAATAAAATTTATCTATATATTCAATAAATGTACGCCCTACGCTTATAAGTTGATTTTTTTTTTTTTTTTTGCATGTAGTTGGGTCCACTAGCATTCCAGTCATATGTTCAACAATAGATCCTTTGTATACTAAAGCACTCTAAAAATCTGCATGTCCACATACATGTGCAGAAAATTAATAAAAACAAAATACGTATTGTCAAAATTAGCATAGAAACAAAAGTGCATTTTGACCAGGAATTAATTAAGTCTCTAGCTATATAGTAAGTATCTGTACTCCGGCACGTTAAACTGAGGAGTCTTCTATTTTGGAAGGATATGGCGGATGGCACAATGCGGGTTTGTTTCTTAAACAAAGACTCTTTAATTTGTTAATAGAGCACTCAAACTGAAGATCACATCTCGTTATCCTGAGTAATTTTGTCAACGAAATAAAACCATCTACACGTAAAACTTAATTGCTTTCTAATTGATTTAAGTGTATCTATCTTAAGAAGCAATCTAGTGGCAAGAATCTATGAGTATATATTATACAATGTCTTGTATAGATGCTTGGGACCTATGTAAAGTAGCACCACCTATAGCTGTTGTATTTTACGTATGTTTATTCAACTTTTACAGTGTTATTTGTTGCAGTATTCCCATGAGAAAAAATGCGGTCGGCCACTTGTTCACACTATCAAGGTACTTTGCATGTGAAGAGAGTCACCATGTGTACATATATATTGACCAGCAAAAGTGAAATATACATGTACGTGTATATGCATATATATGTTAAAGTAACTTGATTAAAGACGTCTATTTTTCCTTAAACAAAATTATCTTTGTCTATACTTGTTGTTTAGGGTATCACTAGGCAATCACACAAATATATGTATATTAAAAAAATGAATGAAAATAGTATGTATCTTTTAAAAAAATCTTTATTATTATTCATTTTTTTATCCATCATTTGTACAAATTAAAAAAAAACATGTTAATTCTTTGCAAAAATATGTCATCAAAATATGAACGTATAAAACTGTAAAATATGAAACATAGTCCAAATTGTTAACAATATTGTATGAGTATAAAAGAATCAAGTCTGCCAACTTAATTCTTGTAGGAAAAAATGTCGGAATTTATCGCAAATGATAAAGTGTTCAACCATACATCAGCACTTTTTTATCCATACACACATTGTTCAATATATGTTCATGACGCATACAGCTTAATATTTTTCAATTTAGATTTTCACTTTGTGTTATAAACTTCGACGAAATGCATTATTTTGTCATGAAACACAACTCCATTTTCACATATTCGTATTCAAAATACAACTCTTATTTACAATATATTATATATATTTACAACAAATTGAGGTCAAATACAAATATTATCACCAAGATCGTATGCCTTGGGGAATTTGTGAATTTGCGTATGGATTTTGTTGCATAGGATTAATGGGAACAGCTGATGAGACATGAGTGTTCAATGGTGAGGGATAATAGGGACTACTGTATGACGCGGAATAAGGAGCTCCAGGCACGTTCTGTGGCAAACATGGCCGTCCGTCGCGGACCAACATTTGAACTGCGACACGCCTTGGTGGCATAGAAGACAATTCTAAGCTTTTGTCTTGTCTCTGGCGTTTACATTTGTATCTTCTGTTTTGGAACCATATTTTCACCTGCGTAGAAGTCAGTTTGAGTAAGGATGCTAGCTGTTCTCTTTCGGGTGCGGATAAATATCGTTGTTGCTTAAATCTTCTTTCTAATTCAAACACTTGCGCCTGAGAAAATAACACCCGGGGTTTTCGTCTGGAGCGTTGTTTCATTAAATTACATTCACCTGATTTTTCTGGGTTTTTGTCGTTGTCGTTTTCATCTAACGGAGATGGAGCTTGGCTGCAGTTTCCATTATCTAAAATTGAAAAAAAATCTTAATTGAATATTCAAAATAATATAAGCGAAGCGAAATCATAATTGTTTAAATTTATAGTATTTAGTGTCCCCCCCCCTCCGTATTCCTAAAATGGAGTTGAAGTGAGAGATAAAAGCCCCCCAAAACTGGACAGGCATTGCTGTATCCTCAGCGAATTGGTTCAATGACGTTTTTGTGACACAATTAATAGTATCGAAATCGAGGCTGCTAACTGTGTTCTGTACAAAAACCAATTTCTAAATTTCTTAAAATACATGATATTTTATTGAAAATAAATGTGATGCAAGATTGTTTAAACGTTATTGTATTGGGGTTATTTGACCAATCCCTGTTTTAATGTAAGGAAACATCTGTACACCATCCTACCGGTTAGAGATTCGTCATCCTTGACAAAATTTATCAGTTACGTTGCATCATCGTTTGAAAGACAATGTTCTCATCATAATGCAAAGAATCAGAATTAATCTTAAATAACCACACAAGTGTTTCATGGGGAAGAGATTAAAAACAATCCTCTTAAGAAACTTGGACCAACGATCTAAATGCGAAAATAAAATCTAAGTCCGGAGACAGGAAATCCAATGAACACGGACAAGAATAAAGTAGTGTATTTTAATCATGGCAAAAATAATGGGAAAATAAATGAGCTCACTAGGATAATTAAATAATATCTGTTAAACATCTTAATGTATACATTTATATCCTATATAGAAAACTTCAAAAGTTCAAATTCCGCATGTTAATGTCATCGAAGAAAAATGAACAACTCTCATACTCTCGTTATGAAAGATATAACTCATCAAACGTTTCTCTTTTTATGTATTAAAAATAAGACCAGTTGTTTCTTCTAATGGATAACATTTGTTTAATGGTTCTGTCGTTCTGCCGACTGATGCGGTTTACACATTATACCAAGTGCTTCAGATTCTTTTTTTTTCTTTTTTTGATTGACAAGCGCATCCTTCCCACCCTGGAATTCCTCCCGTAGCTTTTAACAGCTCACAAACAATAATTATTAAGAAGTTATGCTTTAAAATAGAGACCAACATCGGAAGATTTACACCCGATACTTGAAGAAAATCTTCAATCCTCAGCAGGGGGCGGAAGCTCGCATAAAGACATAACAACAGTTGTTGAAATTGGCTCTCGGCAAGCATGTGGAGGGTAGGCTTCCTCATGTATTATTTTCCAATAATTTTCAAAACAGAGGCAGTGATTCCCTTTTTACACGAGTTCATTACCTAACAGTTGAAAGCTACACTAACATGACGGCACATAATTAATATTCGGTTATTATTAGCATTAGGAACATTTGCAGGAAAAAAAAGATTGGAACTTTAACGTGTTGTGGGAAGGCTAGCAATCAAAGACACGCGCCATACCTCCTAGTAATTAATATTAACAGTTTGTCAAGTTTTAAAATGTCAGGAAACAGAAAATGGTAAATGAAAAATGAAGGAATCATTTTGACTGTCGGTAAAACCAAAAAAACATGGTATATAGATATTCTGAATATTTCTGTGTGAAAACGACCAGCCTCATGAAAGTGAGGCAAATAATATAAGGAAAGATGGATACAAAAATTGGAAACTTCCGTCTCAGAAAAATGGTTAAACAAAGGAACTGTACTTTGAAGTTCTTCAGAAAATTCAAACGAAAATTCTAATGGCATATTGATTTATATATATGTAAAAATACAACAGTACTATTAAATAGTTTCTTTATTTGCATGAACTCTATATAGTACTCTAGCTCTTTAAAGCATATAGTACCTTATCATGAAATATACGCGTACATAAGTATTGCAGAAACAAGATAAAAATCTCCTTTTTAATATTAATTTTTCAATTTGAAATTGAAATTACTATTTGACCAACAATTTGTAATTTATCTTAAAAGAAGATAAGAAATAAAAGGATAGTATGGATTTCACTTGGTTAAAAGAAAATGAAATTCATCTTCTTATATACGTTTTTATGCCACCATCTGGTGTATTATCGAAATTAATGGACTTGTTAAGCAGAATTTGCCTCTAAGGAACTCCTTTAGAATTGAATAACGTATAATGAAATGAATGCGTTATACTCTCTCTCTCTCTCTCTCCCATGAATGCTTTATATATATTTAAAATCCTTATAGATCTACCGCACTTTTCTTCATAATTTAGAAAAAAAACCATAAACCCACGAAATGAAATACCTTAACACATAGAATATATAAAGTATCTTATGACGACCGTCGAAATGAAAATGTTGAAATTGATTTCCATATGGAAGTTAATATATCATTTGCATTTCCATATGGAAGGTACACTAGTATATTATTTTAATTTTCATATGGAAGTTAATATAACATTTTAATTTCCATATGTTTATTTCCGACAGATTTTATTTATAAATTTAGAAGTAAATATATTTAAGAGATCGATAAAAAAAATTCTGCCAGAAAGAACATTATACTTACGTCAACAAAAACGATATTAATTACATATCTTCTTATATATATCTATTCTTTCTTTAATTATAAAATATTAATCAATTTTGTTTGTTGTAGAATCCGCAGGGAAATATGTCCCTTTTTTAAGAAGACAAAAACAAGAATATTGTTCAAAAAAGCAACGAATAAATGTGAAAATATTTCAGTATAATCTACGAATATCTTATGAATTAATGATGAACCATATTTTCAGAGTTCATTTCCAGACTATTTTAGAGTTTTCAGTATTTGAGGAATATTTAAAGAATGAATTTAATAGCTACCCAAGTTATACTGTATAACCTGGGTTGGGCCTGTTTACGCTTTATAAACCGCTTCGCGGTTTATAAAAAAGCGTAAACTGTTACAAACCAGGTTATACAAGTATAACTGGGGTAGCTATTAAATTTATTCCTTATAATTTAATTTTCTATCATTAAGTGTAAAAAATAAGACAATTTTCCTTTCAAAAAGGCCTCCAAATTCTACGGATTTTAAATGTAACGTCCATCGGATTGATCCGTTTTTGACGTAAATCATTGTGACTTAGGCAACACAGGTTATACGATATAAACGAATTTTTCTATCCAATCAAATGGCGTGTTACATGTACAACCAAAATTAAATTATTGTGATTTAATTTCAAATTTATTTAAAATATCATTTATTATCATGAAATTGGACGAAATTCTCTTCGGAATTACAGTTATGTTTACATCTTTTTTTTGTATTGAATTGCATTAGTTCTGTCTTAAAATTGTTACCAGGTCGACTTTTACTTTTAAATTATGCATATTTTCGTATCTATTTAATTGCAGATTTCATTCGTCAGGCATGTGGTTATATCTAGCAAATTTGTATCAATTTTTTTTATCGAGGTGGAAATTATATTTAAGTAATGTGATGGCTGGTAAATAAATAGGCAAGGGATTTTAGACGTACTGAATATCACAAAATATAAATATCTCTGTTGGACTTTTAAATCGCTGTTGATGTTTCCTCTGATAAAGGAATCTGAAAACAGTTTGCAAAGATGATAAATTGACAAATCTCTCCTCGCTTCTTTGCACTTTTCTTCACACAATGATAACATATTGAGCAGATTTAATAAGATAAAGAGATTTTACTAATTCAACGTTTTTTTTTCTCTTTTAAAGTTTGTTTATTTTTTATGCAAATCTTAACATTATTTTGCAAGCAAGATACTTAAATACAGAATTAAATAAAACCAACAAAACTATGCAACAAACACTGCATGCTACTCGTATGTAATAATTCATTTGTTCAAACAATGTTTGTTCACCAATATCACAAACTATAAACTATGCAACATTTTTAATGAACAGATAAGTGACCAATAAATAAATAAATAAACAAAATTAAATTTAAAAAAAAAGCAGGAAATAGCAAAATGGAGGAAGAAGTAAAGAAAACCTGGATACAAAAATTAAAAAAAAATATACCTCATTTCCGGATCCAGTTCAAAATTTATGCTCAAAGGGAAAAGACAAAAAATAGTGAATTATTTATTTATCCTTACTTTCTATATTTGTTCTAAAGATTAATACAAAAAAAAATCAGAATAGAAGGTGAGGATAATCTGGGTACGCTATATCGGTAACTTCCAGATTTGACAGATTTGTGATAAATTTTCCCTACATCCTGTTGCGAGGCAAAGTAAGCGGATGTCCCGCCGATCGTGAGCCCCCTGTTTCCTTGTCGCGCGACAGAGTAACTGCTCACAATTTCGAGGTTGGTGCTCCAGTTTTATTCTCATTTCAGAAGGAAAGAGTAAAAATATGGAAAAGGATGTTACCGTGCTGCAGTCATTTCAGTATTGTTTTGTCGTGAAGCAAAAAAACCGCAATTATGCAATGGCCTTGAAAAAAAAAAACTTCGTGTATTTTTACTACAGTTTGGAAGATTTACATTCATTTGAGTAGTCATTTTTGACAGAAGAAAATGTTTTCTTTGGAGTTGATTGTAGAATACAGATAAAAATTAAGTTTTCCATAAAATAACATTCAAAGCTACAAAAATTCCGATAAAATCAGATAAATCTAATTATATTCCTTTACAATACACTGACATTGAATGAAAAAGATATAAGTATAAATTTTTCTTTTTATCAATTCAGCTTTTTATATATCTAAGTACAAATTTTCTCTAATCATTTTCTCATCATTTAAATGCGATCAAATATTAATAGATCAATCTCACTTTTCCGTTCCACATCAACCTATCTCCATTATATGTAACAACTTCATTGGGCGCATCATGATAATTTTCCTATCAATAAAAGTTAATTGATTTGTTAAGTTTAAAATAAAAAATAAGTGAAATACCCTGAATATTTCTACTTAGCATGACATTTGGCCACACGGGGAAGTGAAAGATCACAAGCGTATTTAATGTCCAATAAATATGGCGATCTTCAGATCGCGTTATGCAGTTTTGAGCTCGACGACCAAGCGTAAACGTTACGAGATAAATACTGCGCTCGCGGAGGTATCATTTCTCCCCTCTCCCCCGTTTAACATCATATGAACTTGATGACCCCCGTTTGCTTAAACACAGATGAACGAAGGAATTTTGTATATCGGTGGTTCCGTAGTACATTGTATAAAATTAAATCAAAAAAATGTGGCTGGAGCTTGATTTATATACAGGAAATGGCAATAGCTATTCTAATAAAGAATCAATATGTTACATGTATTTGTTTTCTAAATCTATCTATGTTGCTCGAATACTGCACTATTTCTAAAGAATTTTACAAATTATGCATCTAAATATGATTTCTTTATGTCGCAAAAATACGCTCCACAATCTAGCAGATATTAAAGTATACTAATTAAATAAATCTAAACGTTTTTCACTCAAAATTGAATTTTTTTAATATCACTGTAAAAAATCTTGTTTGAATATTCAAATATTATCTCTAATTTAATGATATATTTTGATTCCGTTGCGGATTAAAAATAAAAAAGAATCATTAAGGGCCGGTCGGGGTCCGGGGGTTTTCTAGATTTCACGTCTTTGAAGTATTTTTGCCGCCGTATCTGATTGCTCCAAGTTCCACAACGTAATTAGAAAAATGTATCGTAAATAGTGGCTTTATGTTGAGTGATAAGATCATAAAATTAAACGTAGAAAATAAAGACGAAATCAGAATTACAACTTGGGGCCTAGCGTTCACAGGATCCAAACGTGTCCGCACGTTTTTACAACTCCAGCTGATAAATGCAGTAACATTCTAATTTAGAAAATGTTTTAATAAAAATTAAAGTTCCGTTCAAATTTGATTTTATCAGGGTATGAGCTGGAAAGACATTATGCAGAAAAATGCTTATGGAAGAAATATTCACATCAAGAATATTGCATAAGAAGATGATAGAACCTAACATCCGAAGCATCCCAAAAATATAACGTATCAAGGAAATTCAACTCAACAGTCTTTTCTTTAGGAAATACTAAACAGTACAGGAAATTAGAAAACTTGCAATCTTCCTATCCCTTACAAGGAAATATTTTTTTTCTTGTTATTCTCAGTAAAACACATTCAGTCTAAATCACATGTTCATATTATCAAATCGACTATTACTTAGAGAAATTGCTAATTACAAGGACTTTATCAATCCTTCAATTAATATAACCTCTTGAGAAACTAAAAAGCAAGACGGAAAATTAACCATTAATGATAAAGGCATATGTATCAGAAATATACGTGACACAAATAATTTCATTATTAATGATGGAATTTATATACTGCAACATAAGTACTTGAATACAAATACATCGTCATTAGGTCTAATTATCCTGCCTGGCTTCCGTTTTGTACGGAAACTGTAACCCGAAAAAATTAATATCCAAATTAAAACTCATGATCGCTACACTGTATAAACGTATAGAGACAAAGCGATCGATGAGAACCATTCCCCAAAAATACTTTAGACCGTGTCCACCCAAAATGCCCAAAGTCTGGGTAATAAGTCTTCTTTGAACTTCAAATTATGACAGAAATAATGTTTGTGAATCCGACCGCGCTCCCGGGCCCCTACGGTGTTGGGGATGAAATTTGCAGAAACTGGTGTGATAAAACCGTTTTTCTGTCGTATATCTTCCCATCAAACTTAGTTCGACATGTGTACGTACATATGTATTTAATATTGCCTCCCATGATATCGTCCTAATATTGACTTTCTCAGGGAAAAAATACTCTACGGACAACCCTACTTCTAGCTCTGTTTTGTTTGTTTACCAACACCATTAAAATTGAAATAAACAAAAATTAAAAAAAAAATAGTTCTGCTGGTCTAGTTATTGCGTGACATCTGTTATAAATGAATACAATCAGGATTGATTATACACGATTTCACTTTCTAATAAGATTTTAGGATGTGTGTTCATAGAACATTAAGAGGATGCCGACATTTTTCATTTGTGACAATAAATTTTATGGAGAAAATAAATTTATCTAAAAAAAAAAAATCAAATAAACTTGTTAATGCTTTTAAAAAATATAAATATATCCGAGTTCTTTTGCGTCAAACGTTTTGAAGACTTGAAACCTGAAAATTGTGGATGAAGAAATAAAATAATACATACAACTCTTTAGCTTTCATATTTTTAAATAACCTTATTTGACCACCTTAAAAAACCGAGAGAATACATATGTGTACACTTTGAATTTAGATTCATAGTTTATGCAACATCCGACTGTGTTTCCGAAAGATAAACAACACACAAACAGTTCTAGTATAGAGTCAGTGTCGTTTAAAACAACATTTACAATTCACAACATTATATAATAACGACACTATATTAAGACATCCCAACAAATTTATTTCTACAATTTATTTTGGGAATGATAAAAAAAGATAATCCTTCTCAGTAAATTCAAAATCAAAAATGATTTTTTTTTTTATTAAAGAACAATATGTAATAAAATTTTAAGTAAATTAATGGGCGGTTACTGTACCAATTTCATATTATGTAATAGATTATGAAAAAATGGGTGAAGCCGAATGTTTTAAAGAGTTACCAAGTGTTACTATTAAAGCGATGACGAAGATACTTTTCTTTTTTGAGATGATGGATGACTTGGATAAGGATTAAATTTCAAATCAAGTATCAAGATTACAAGAGATTTTGGAATGGCTCTCACCTTTTGAGACGATAAGATTTATGCAACACCTATCACCACACATTGAAAGCATGCTTAAGCCCCCAATAGCTTTAAGTGGACCACTTCATAGCTACCTATATTGATGATACAAATCGCGATTTCTGAAGACAGAAGGAGATTTCGAAGTACCCCTTATGGCACAAGAGACTCTTGATCAAACTCAACAAGTCCAGACATTTAAATACATCGCCACCGCAACAGAAGAGTTTATTTTCAATACATACGTTTGTCAAGATTTTCCATGATTTCGCTGCTTTCGCTCTTTGGAGTGATGGATGAACCGTTATCTGTGGATAGGGAGGATGAGCCAGGGGACATCATATCTGGTGAGGATTGGGAGGTCCGAATTTCTCCGGAGACGTGTGAATCTGGTTCTGTCTTGATGGAGTCCCCGGGTTGAACAGGTAGGGACATACTGTTGGAGACATTGGAAGATAGATTTGTCAGGGTGTACCCTTGTTGGATTGGAGAAGTCAATGTTGGAGACGGTGACTTTCCATACATACAGGCTTGGTTGCTGTTGTAAATATGCAACTGATCTGTCATTCTGTTGTTTTCCATTGGAAGTCCGTAACTATTGTAATAGTCCAAACCGCAATGCATCGCCTGGTGTTCTGTTGGCCACCCTGGACCCTGACTTAATAAGTTCATTACGGAATGATTGGAATAATTCATTGCCACCTTGTCCACACAACCAAATATCCACTCAAGAATGCTACACTGTTGTCAAAACGCTTTTAGATTGTGGAGAGCCTGTTTGTCACGACCAAGTGTTTTGCTCTGTACGATAACGGGGGTCTCGCTGCATCTCAAATTATGTTCAGGCGCCATCCAATCACAATCGGTTATGCCAATGACGGAGATTTCCTGCTGTAAAATTCAAGCAGGAAAAGGCGAATTTATCCCTCCTAGTGAGCTTCAGTATTTTACAAAGGCTTATAGTTACATTTATTGTTGTATATACACTAGATAATCTTCCAGCGAGTTTTAATCCGTAAGAAAATTTTTATCAGAAAAGAAAAAAAAAATCATGTTTGCATATCGTCTTCCTGACCAAATAATATTTTGAATTTTATTTCTTCAAACATCTTTTAAAAGATTTTTCGTGTTCAGAAATGCCAGCTCTTTTGTAATTATTTCATTGCAACTGATTCTTATAAATGCCGTAAATGAAACAACGTGTGAAGCCTCGTTTATTTATTAATCTTTTCTTCTTGCGCTTACTAAACGATTCAATTTTCGTATCAACAATGTGGCTTAATGTTATTCTTCAGACTAGGATGTTTACACAGGGTACTGTTTTGTATGAAATTGAAATCATTTGGAAAAGAGTGAAACGACATTTTTCTCGATAAAACCCGATATCGCACGTAGATTAGTGCCTCAAATCACCGTAGAGCGAGTCGTTTACCGCCCGCTAGGAGGGGGTGGTTATTCTCAAAATCGGCGAGCGCATACTGCCCGACATGGCCTGCATGTGAGATCGCCACAATGTCGTGTTTTAGTTTATAGAGCATAACAACAAATTCCAGTCAGTCTGTCGTCGAATCTGTACATTCAGCTAGCATGCTTTATGGCAAAAGAGGGTTTAGTTTCTACAAATAATGTCTCCAGTTCACCTTTTTCTATTATAGAATCTATCAGCAAAAAATCCCACATGCCCCGTCTTTCCTTTTTATTTCTGTTTCTCGTAAACGAACTGTTTTTGTCTGCCCCTAGCACTATCTTTATTATATCTCATATGCATGTTTTCCTATATCTTGGCGAGTTTTATTAAGCGTTTTGTTACCCAGATGTATGGGTTTTAAATCATCCTTAAAATTTGACTGTTTTCACTTAATTTGCGTCCTAGAGAAACAGTTGTTACATGATACAGACATTGAGGATTTTCCGCACACCGAGATCGTTACCATTTTTTTGAAGTTCCAATACTTACTGTTTTCTATTAACTTGATTTTTTAAAAGAGAGCTCCGTGCATCCCGGATAATTCGTAAACAACCATAAGAGTACTAGTAGATTTCAGTGCTTAAAAAAACATTTGTTATTTTGTAAATATTTTCCTTTTTTTCCTCAAAGTTCTCGCATATTACCTGATTCGGGACTATTTAAAAGTATCTTTCATTTTTTTGTAGATTAGATCGGTTTTGTTTCAATTGGCGTAAAGATTGGGCCTTTTGGTGAGTATGTAATTTTTTTTTATGTTAGTCATATCCGTGATCAATCTAAGTCAGTATTTTATTCTCGAGTCCCTTTATTTAAAATCCATAGAAAAAGATGTTACATGTTACTATAAAAAAGACTAGTTTTAACTGATGATTGAATTAAACGATTAAGAATTATGATAAAGAATCGAGGAACAAGATAAATTTCCTTGAAAATTATTTTCTTTTCTTTTTAACTTTTCTTTCTTAAACATTGAATATCTATTTTAATACTTCTGGTGTTATTGTTCAAATTTAGTTTACTAAGAATTTAACTGTAACAAAAGAACTAAATCTAGAACGAAAAACAGCAAAACACTTCTTAAAAGAACACTATTAAACACTAAAAAGCATTATTTTTAGAATTTTTTCCAATTTTGCTTTTGAATTAAACATCCCCCCATTTCAAATTAAATAAATCGTTGCATGGAATTGCAATCGAAGTATATTTTGAGCTTAAGACATACAAGCATATATTCAATTTTGCTGTGAAGAGCAATATCATTACTAAACTTAAAAAGAAAAAAAAATAAATATTTTGAGATATTACACTTATAAAGAGACCCCGAAGTGAATATACATTTTTTTTTCATAAAACTTCTACATCTGTATAAGTTTTAGTTGTGATCTAAAGACTACATCCAAAAATACACAAAAAGCTCACTTGATATTTTTCAAAGACAGAGAACTTGCCTTTTTACAGTGAATTTACTATGTAAATTACAAAGATTTTTCATGACTTGAAAAAAAAAATGAGTAAATGTGAAAATCCATATATCAATTATAATATCCATTAAAAATATATTCCAGACAATAAATTCATGAAATGATAAATGTATAATTCTAGGAAACTTAGTCAAATAAATTATCTTTTAGTGATTGAAAAGCTTAGTATTCATGTAATAAATAGAAAAAAAAACTTTTAAATAAATAAATATAAACTATACAATAAACTAAGGATCCTACAACCAATATTTTGGCGCTGATTTCGGTTGATAGTCCGAAGTATGCAATCGTAAATAACGCACACCTGTGATATCAAAATAGAATTGTTTCTAAGTAATAGCATGAACAAAGGTCAATGAAATACAATGGATTTGTCCAATATCCAAATTTTTCCAATATTGCTCAGTTTCAAGGAATTCTAAGGTACAATATTGCTTCAAAAACACAAAGTGCAAGCTAGCCTTTTTTGCAAAATTTGCATCTTTAAGGCATTTTTTTCTTGTAGATATTTAGTATCAGATATATTTGTATGGAATTTAGATAAAATTGCTTTCTCTCTGTGATTCCCAAAGCACAGTGTATCTAAAACTCAAAATAATAGGAAATTTAGAAAATTATAATGCTTTTAATAAAAATCAATACTGAATAAATTGTTATGTTGTAAATTTTGAATTTACCTGGTGGCAGTAAATACAAAATTAACAACATGGCAACTGCAAATTTTGTATTTACTACCACCCGGTAAATTCAGAATTTACAACATGATAAAATAAATGTTTCGTAATTGGTTCCTAATCTGAAAGTATTACAATTATAAGTATATTTCAAGTAACATTAAATAAGAGGCCAAATTTGACACTTTCCATATATACATTTTTTCTGTGAAAATCCTAGTACCTCTAAATAATCATTTATTTGATTAACCTGATGATATTTTTATAAGTAACTAATTAATTAAAACAGTTTTTCTGATGATAACCCCCCCCCCCCATAATACACGTACATGTATTTCTTAATTTGCAAATGTTTCGAATAAAATTTATGAAATGTGATTCTTGTTGCATGCTTATTTTACATACAAATGTACATGTTAAGGAGTTTTTTTTTAATGTAAACCTTTTCCTTATTAATCTGCAATTGACGTACAAACCTGAGTCTTTGCATTACTTTCAAAGCTTGTACTTGACACTGGCGATTTAGAAGTCCCTAGCAGTAGTTCTCTAGCCTTTGAGAGCTGATAATTGGTAATTGCCAGTCAAGTACAACTTAGAGCAAGATAGCAAGAACTCAACTGTACATATTCTGTAGTTAGTCAGATAAGAAACTTTATACTGAGTTAATACTTGCCAAGATTTAATTAGACTGGAATTGTGCTCTGAATATCGGCATAGGTAAATATTCCGTATTTATAATTTATACACTTCAGTAGTATTTAAAAGAAACAACGTTATCAGCATTAAATTTTCTAGTTGTATATATGTAACTTTACGGAATAAAGTTTTTTTATGTTTATTTTCACAGGACTAACACTAAAAACATATGTGTTCTTTTCTTAAGTGGATTATTTTTTCGTAAATTTTGCAAATACGTGCTTCATAATTTTTAAAAACATATTTTGCAATTTCTTATTCGTTGGAAATATAATCGTATCTTCTGAACTCTGTCATTGTATATTTTATGAAATAAGAATTTGCAATATGAATTTACATAATTTCATTAGATAATTATAATAATAAACTGTCGGAAAGAATATTTTAACATAAACAACTTATTTGCTTTCATTTGCAAGCTACTGTTTATAATGTTATAATAATAATAGGGGTAATAACGTTGTTATTCGTGCACAACAGCTGTCGTCTTGCGTTTTATTAACTAACAGCATTGAACCTGTTACGTTTTTAGTAGAAATATACCAAAAGTTGTAACTTAAGAAAGATATCGAATAATTATGAGTATGTTTGATAAAACTTCGATTTCTGAGGTATGATTTAAAGCGGGAAATATTTATTCATGAATTATTTTAGGAATAAATCCTGGAAAATTTGTTCTTTGTACTAGGGTAATTTGCGCTTCACTCAAAAAAATCGTACAAACATCGGTTTCCTTTATCTAATGACATAAAAAAAAAACTAATTTTTTTTTCTAAATTAGCGTTGATAATTTAATTAACTGCGACATGAAAAAACTGTACTTTTATAATTTAAAAAACTGGATGTCCTTTTGGTATATAATGCATATTGGAACAACATTCAGGAAAATTGTCACCTGTTGTATGGGCACTTTGAAATCGAGTACTTGTTGCAATTGACACACACTTGATGAATTTGGTACGTTATGGTATTTTCTTTTTCCAAAAATAATTTTCAGAAATATTGCGATTGATGTCTGGAGTTTTTACCTCTCCAATGTCTGGTACATTCTAGTAAAAATATTGTTTACACAAATAGTATACTTGCTTGAAAAATATTTGATATAACAACACTAACAATTAGTTTAAAAATTCCTGTGAGAAAATTGTAATGATGTTCTTAAGAAATTTAATCAATAAATACTGAAGTATTATTTATCTGTCTTTTTTCCCCTTAAATAAAGAATATTACAAACTAAAATCCATATTTGATGTCATATGTATGTAGTATTCTATTTATCCACATGTATTTGAAATAATTAGTGTGTGTGTTCACATCAAGTCATTTAAGAATGTTTCTTACACGTAAATCTAATAGAGCAAATTTTAGGCCATTTTAAAACTAATTACGTCAATAAATTTTAGTTCAAAAATTATATTACAATATTTTGTATACAATATATGGTATATTTCATTAAAATCAACTTAATTAACATTTTATCTTTATGAAAACTTTACTCAAGGTGTGATATGGATTTTTGCACGCCGGTCTGTTAGGTGATACGGGTTTTCAGACCGGTTGTTGATATGGGATATTGTGGCCTCACCCGTATTGCACAGTGCGGAAACGGAGTAATTACTACTAAGTATATGATATATATCATTTATCTATCCTTTGCTTCCTTGAGAATATATGCGATAGATTTGTACTTTTTTTCCTTTGCTAAAATTATGATGTAAAATCAAACACACTCTTTTAATATTTGAAATAAACTTTGCAAGAAATTGGTTTAAAAGTAAATCATAGATTTCTCCCTGTCCTATAAAATAAAAATTATTTAAAAAAAAATGCGGATGATCTCTCTCTCTCTCTTTTTTCCTCTGTATATTTAATATTTTGTAAAATTGGCACGTTAATTGAATTATGGAAAAGAACCAACTTTACTTATTATTTTACGGTCAAACGTATTCAGTTTCTCACGTGCACTTAACCTTTCCACCAACCAGAAAGGAATTACAAATTATGTGCAATATGATACAGTTACATATTTTTGCACATGTTGATAATAATAAAAATGAATGTTCTTTATAGAATACATGTTTACAAAATTCTATTCCTACTCCATCCCATTTTCTGATTTACATAAAAGGAGATAATACACATAACAATGCAATGCCGTTAGTTAATTTGTATAACAAAGAGACATTTATCTTATTCTTCTGTATACTTTAGTTATGCAAGTCAAGATGTGCAGTTATTATATATAATCGTAGTTAAGTGATGGGATTTGATATAATAACCTCAAATCAAGCGATAGCACTTAATTAAAGGCGTTAATCAGCGCAAGATCTCTCAATGAGTTCACACGGACACCCTTGGTTTCCCGCATGAGATATTATTAACGTTCCACTCTTGTAACATATTGATAAACATAATTGATTTTAAAGTATATAAACAATCACAAGTAGTCAACTAAACCACACTATAGAATGAGAGCCGCAAATCTTCCTTAACAAAGTGTTTTACTATAGCTTCTATCAATACGTAGGTTGACTAAGATGAAAGGCTTATGTAGAAGATACTTAAGGGAGTATCTTGTCTCCGTTGAGATGCACTTAAGACTGATATAAATAAACGACAGCTACTTTTTTTCTGATTTGTAGTAAGAGCCAGGGAGCCTGATGGGAAGTTATTTAAATTCCAAGATTAAAAAATAACTCTGCTATCCGTCGGATCTCTCAATATGATATTATATGAAGGAAAGTACATTATTTGATTCATCTTCAAATTGGTTATCTTAAATACTTGTATCTTTAAATTGAAATACTATAGTGAGTGTTCGGCATTGTTAATTGTTGTATTATATTATCATCTCCTTCTAATTTTAAAAAAGTCTCGGAACTTTCTACTTTTACTTTTATCATCTAATGCGTGTTGCATTATACGGCACATTTAATGGTTTTTCCACAGAATAAAAAAAAAGTTATTCTTTTTGAAGTTAATGTTGAAATTGGAACTTTTTATCGAGATGTATTTCTTATCTTTTGTAAAATCCATTGTACACGTTTTCATTATTAGACAATAATATATATAATCGCATGACTTATTTTTAGATAAATATAACGTATGAGAAATTGTTATGAAATCATATATTAAACGGTTGCTTCAAGTTGAAATATGTTAAAACATTCATTGTAATCGATGTCGTATTTATAGCACATGTACTCGTCAACAAAGATGATAAATCAGTAAAGATAACAACATCAGCTACTATTATGATTCAGTAAATGTTCTTCAATAGCAACTAAGCATGTAACGATTTAATGATGTGATTTTGTTTACCGGATTTAAGAGCGGGGACACACAGAAAGGGCACGACCGCAGTTTATATCTAGCTTTGATCAGAGACCCTCACTATTACTAGTTCTGTACTAATTTTCCTGTTTAGGAGAGCGCCGATCAGGGGTTTAGCTGTGCGCAGTTTCCGGTTTGGGGATTTCGTTGACACGTATATTTCCTCTATTATCGATGGCGTCTTCCGTAGCACTGGGAGTAAGATTTGTGTTTGCTCTAACGAATTAGGTCATTATATGATTAAGTACGTGTACATTGTGTACAAAGACACAAATATAAGAACTCCACTTTGGTTCACTTGGATATAATAAGTCTTTTAAAAGTACACTTTTGATATAAGATAGTGTACACGATCAGTAAGTGACGTCTCGCACGAATAAGAATTATGATTTTTGAAGATAAAGATTATGAATTATGATTCTAATTCTTGAAAATAAGAAAATATTTTTCAAAAAGATTCAGTTTCTCACATAAAATTTCAATGAGATTTCGAATACTCACATACGTCTTTATTATTTCAATCTTTTGTAGATGACATATTGGCTTGTACAATACCCTATTTCCATACACAGAAAACTCAAATTAAGAAACACGGCATATAGTTACACAAATATTCATATTTCCACTTCAAAAAGTTTCTTTAAGTTTGTACCATTAGGATATATATTACATAATAATAATTGACAATTTCCTAGTTTACACAGTTTACAATATTTAGATGATAATCCAAATTTAGCTTCATATTTCCAAGTACAAAGTTATATTTGCATAATTGTTTAAGCCTGTTACACGTAACGTGATAATAAAAAATTATGACAATAATCGCTGAAGTTCATTTCTTAAATAGCACATTTGAAAGAAGTTAATACATATACATGTATGTGCTAAAAGATCTTGAATCCATTTTAATGGACTGGCCTTTTCATCATACAAAACATGGGCTCCTTAGTGTGCAATTTTTGGATTTCTTCTAGAACGGAAAACACTCAAAAACATAGCACAACTTCAAACTTACCTCAGATGTACGATTCGGATTACTTAAAGCAATATGAGCTGCAACTCTGATGTCGGATATTTGTGTTGCAATATTGTAATTAACTATTTCAATGACAGAAAAAAGAAGGTTTTTACACTTCTGTTGTTCATATTTTCGATGGAAGAACTATTTATAAGCTTTGATTGAAGAAAAATTACTTTATTGTCGTCCTGTACAATATTGAATTCTTATATAATACTATACATTCCACTGTACAGAAATCTGTCTTCTAAACAATTTAATACATTATTTTCGTCTAATAGATCATAAAGGATTAAAGTACACACAGATTTATCATAACAACACAAAATAAAATTCTCAAAAATGCAGTTCATATTGCTTTAAGTGAAGGAAAATTTAGCTATCTTTATAGTTATTGCGAACAAACGTTTCTGTAAAACATGTATATGTTGGCAAATACCTGTCATATTTACCTATAGTTATGTATATCTAATTCTGTAGGTATACTAAGATGACCAAAGTGTGGAGAAAAAGAAACCTTGCTTTGACAGTTCTCAAAACTGGTTGCATTGATCGTCAGTTGTTTGCTGTATCTATAATTTGCTTCAAGACTGTGTTTTTAGTTATTTAAAAAATAGATATGTGTGACTTAAAACAATTCGGAGAATTAATTACATCAGCATACTTATTT